ATTCAATTAGAACGTTTTATTTCTTTCTCCTGACAAAAGCGGCAGGTAGTTTACGTTTGGCCTGTTTTTATCTTGGGGATAATGGTCTTATTATATTTTATTATACACTCATGCAAACTTGAGGGGGTTCTGTAATGTGCGCCACTCGGTGGAAATGCCTCTGGACCTTATTACATCCACTATACATATACCTACATATTTAGCTTCCCGTTATGAAAGTAGGTTGATGTTTATGATATAACCACTAAAGCTGTTTATATATTTTGCTAATAGTAAGCACCTACAATTACACTTGCACAGATCAAATTAATCTAATGTGGTATTGATTTGGTTGTTCGTATCTATACATTAAGAGACATAATTATTAACTTTCACAGAACTTCTTTAATAAAACTAACCAATATTCGCTAGAAGTTCTAAAAACCACTATTATTTAGCAGGCTGATTTCTGAGAAAATTGAAATGGAATCAAACCAAAATATTGTAATAAATTAAGTATTATTTTGCGAAAGTCTTCACTTCAACCTCTGTCGAGGGGCGTAAGGTTGATTTGTAGGATGTGAGGGTGAGATACAACCTGATGTTACGGGAACAGTATGATAGGGTCTTCGTCCCTACGAGCGAAGACAATGTCTATTCTGCAAGTATATGTGTCGTGTGCAGAGAGACAGTTTTACCATCAGAAATTGTCGCAGAAGGGTCGCAAGAATCGGTATTAGCATAGTAGCGTTTAGATGCTTCCTTCAGGACTGTTTGGTCATGATAAATTTAAGTTTGCTCTTAAGATCCGCGTTGCAAACGAACCACGGAGCGCTGATAGTTTGACGTATTTATTTTGAATCCTCTGGAGGCGATTCAGATGAGAACGGTACGTGTGGGTGGAAACGACGAATTCTGAATCAGCGTCCAAGCGATTGAAAACTTCTTGTAATTATTCAACCATTGACCAACCATTGATTGACCAACAGGCTAGTCACACAGAAAGTCATACCATCAGTGACATAAAATATCGTTGATACACAACGAATACAGGGTGAGGGGAGGACGGCGTCTTGAACGACGCCAGATTTCTTGGGGCGCGCGCTAGAACGTAAGCCGTTGACGCGTTAAAGGCATACGTTCTAGCTGACTAGGCTGGTTTACTACTGCTGGCCGCTTCCAGTGGCTTAGAGAAATCTGTTATGTTTTGAAGAAAATAAAAATAAAAGTTATGACATTTTTTAAACAGTATTCATAGCTACTGAATACCGAAAGTATTGTTGTGATTCTTTGGTTTTGAAATACTTTCACTGCAAACTGTTATGTCGGTCACATCTTTTTTTATGTAACGATATATACAGTATACACATATTGATAACTAAAAGTTATATTTGAGTTAGTATTTAATTATTGTAGCACATTTGTTATTTTTGGTTTTATATACTTTACTAATTGCCCCAACAAACCTAGCTGACGCCACCTAACGAATCCGTTTTTAGAGTTCTGTTCTAAAATAGTATATAGAAACCCTTATGATACGACTACTATATCGTTACTTTTTCCGTTCGTCTATCAGTCTATCATAACACGTTATCAACAACTATTAATGCTATTGATTTGAAATCAAAAGAATTTTTTAGAAATTGATGGGTCACATAACTACATCTTGTAACAAAAATAAATAAAAATTTTCTTCACTAAGGTGCTCGAAAAGAATACTTAAAATTTAAAAATTAACATACAAGACAAAAAAAAATTAACAAGTGGGTATCATATGAAAGAACCTCATTTGTATTGTGTCATACCACACCGTTTTATGTATTTTTATGCCGCATAGCTTTTGACTTAACAAGTCGAAAATGTGGAATAAAGTTTATATTCCCCCCCCCCTCATCTCCAAAGTTAATAAAGTGAGAATACGGGAAAATATGAAGATATTTCTAATTAGTACAGTTTTTGAAATATTCCGATTTATATATAAAATAATTATTATTTATATAGGTATTTCATATAATAAATACAATATACGCATTTGTAAGGACATTTTATCTCATATCTTTTCGTATCTACGGAATTCGTGGCGTGTAAATTCAGATTTTACCTGACTAGTTTTTTTATTTCATATCAGAATAAAATTCTTTTTTAAGTTGGAGTAAATAATATACATTTAAAAAATCTAATTAAAAAAGGTTGAGTGGTATTGGAGCATGAACGAACATAATGACACGGGATTTATAACATCTCCTTACATTATATAAATAGAACGTCTCCATACAAATGCTTCGAAAAAGTGGGTTTTTTTTTCATACGATTTTGCGTAAATAGTTATAAGTGTTTCCTTTATAACTTCTACATTTATTTTGCCTTATTATAATAATAATAAATAAATTCTTAACATAATAAGATAACCAGGACCCACACAATTTTTGTACAATATTAATTTATATGAAATTTATACCATTAAATTAAATTAATACAAATATAAACAACAACGACCCAACTTACTTTTTTTGTATATTAGCCAGCATGTAAATCCTATATATACTACAATGATTCAAATACTGGCAGTCTGGACAGTCCGCAAATACCCTTAGGCTAATACTAGAGCTGGCTCGGACCCTACGCATCAGAGATGTGCACCGTTTTCGCATAGTAGCGTAAAACAATAATTTATAATTTCTGCATCTTTTTAATGCGTAAACACTCATTTTATTTATTAAATAATACGTCAACATACATTTTACGCGTAAGTATATAGGACACTGATAAAAAAACGAGTCAGCTGACAAAAAGTTGACCCGTTTTCGAAGCTTGATGCTCTATCTATGTATATAATCTAGAACTTTTCATTTTTTTGTTTTATAAATAAATTTTCTATTATGAGTATATATATTCTATGATTATATTTTAGAAATATATTTAAATCATGCCTAAACCTAATGCTAACGGGCTTATATCGATTATTTGATTCACAAAAGACATTCAAAACGATGTGGAAGCATTCGGAACATGTAGATATTACAAAAACTCTCAGTAATAGCAGCTAATGCATGTGAATATGGAGAAAGTTTCGCGGCAGCCATTCCAGCGCAATCTCAAATTAAATCTCCACTGGCTCGACTTCGAGAAAACTGGCTTGTTATAAAATATGTATACAATAGTCTTGACTTTTGGAACACGTATTAAAAAATTTAAATATACTTTTTTTCTGTTATAAAGTAATTTTCCAAAAATTAAAATAGAACATTTTATTAGTATGATTTTTCTGCTAACCAAAACAAATTTTAAAATTAAAGCGAAACGAAAGCTTCCTTGTCATTCTATGTGTATGTGAAAACTCCATATAATTATTTTATATCATACTAAAATAAAAAAATAAAAGGTTGTAACATACACATTTATATTATCAAACTATATATATCTATACTTAACTAATTTCTTAAGATATTTTATCATTAATAGATCATCATCGTCATTTCACTCATTAATTGTTCACTGCTATTCACGGACTTATCTGCTGTATTAAATCACAACTGTTATGTGAAAAGTTAGCTTAAATAAAATATACTCAATAAGCTACGACACTTTATAACTAGCGAAATAACTAAAATTGGAAAAAGAAATATCATATACCATGGACTACCATAAAGTTACGATCCTAAGCCAACTGCATTCCAGCGAGAAATATGAGATTGTAGCTCCACCTACCGGGGGATCACCTTACGCTGCATATTCTTTATAACTTCGGCACTAAAAAACTTTTCTTCTTCATTAGTTGTTAGTTAGTTAGTCGCCATTTTATTCATCTTTCGAACTATATCAATCACTGTGATTTTTCTACGAATATCTTTATTTAACAGATTCTCAAATTGAAAACTTAGAGCATTACTCTCATTTCATCTTGCGGAATAGCTTGAAACTTCTACAGATGACTGGCAGTGTATGTTCATAATTATTCACAATAATCAAATGATCTTTTGTGCATAATGTTATATTAAAAAGTAAAAGACTGAGGTATAAATATGAGACTAGGATATAATAAAACTTTTTAACATTCGATCTAACATGTATGATCTTAGCTGCTTCGACACAAATAAATAATAAGTGTTTACATATATTCTACATATAGGAGTTGCTCGATCTGCACATACGAATCGAGCAAGAAAATTATCAATAATAGCCTCTTTTTAACAACGAAAAGGAGGTCTTGTAATGAAAAGATGTTTTGCTTCGTTTTTTACACAGTGCCAAATAATATTCTTATAATATAAATAGGTTATTAGAGACATTACAGAAATAATGACTCTGTGGACGTAAACATCATACTTATTTTAAACCTACTTATTATAAATAACTTATATTTTTTTAATGATGATATTGAAGTGTATTATTATACTTCAACAGCATTATTAAGAATTAAACAATAGTATACTTACTGCTTATAACATTTATGCCCATTATTTATTTATATACAAGATAACAAAAAACGATAGAAATATGATTGAAAAGAGAATACCCATTTAATATTAAAACTAGCAACTTTTTCTCAAAGAAAATATTCCTTTTTCATTTTTAGGAATAAGAATAACTACATTCACTGGTTTTTAATTGGTAAGAACCAATCAATCGATTTCAAATTTGGAATAGTTTTTAATATTATTAGCCCACACATATAGCAAAGGAAATATTTCAAAGTAATTGAATAATTTAAAATTAGCATACTAGTAGAGAGAGACGTACGTAGTGGGTAGTACGTCGCAGTATTTTTCAAATTACACATATTACTATTCCATTTTCATCTATAAAAATAACAACGTGCATTGATATTTTTGGTGTTGCTAGCCCTCATTAGCCCTCATTAGTCAAATAGTTTTGAAAATAGCACCGATTTGGTTAGTGGTTTTTACGTATTGTTGAAACAAACATACATACATACAGATAAAATTTCTAATAATTCTTTGGCGATGGTACAACGGGTCAGGGTTTTTTTAAATAAAATTGTCAAATAAAACATACCGCTGTACAGGATATAAAATATAATTTATAAAAATGTATTAACAAAGAAAATAACTTATATTCAACGCTAACAACAACTAATTTCCGTATAAATCAATTTGCAAGGTAGCGTTTCGTTTGTGGTTCTTGAGTTTCTGTAAATCATACACTAGAGTTGTGTGGTTTGGCTGTCGCACACAGACCAGCGAGAGCACCAGACTCGAGATCTACATCAAGAGCACTATATTTCCTAATATTTGCTGCTATACATTGAAACACTATATTGGGAAGGTACATTTCACTAAAATAACTTGTTTAATATATCTTACTGATATCCGTATACTGTTTAAATTAGTTCAATGTCTATGACTCTAATAAAATAAACGTACAATATCAAGTACATTTTCCTCAAATTACTAATTTTATATATATCATGGATATCTAAATATGATTTAAAAATCTATGATGTGCCTATATATTAGTTAAATTATCTATGATGTAGTATTAAATATCAATGATATATCTACAGATTTTAAACGAAATAATGACAATATTTCCGTTCACAAATAATAAATCAAGACAATATTATTGTTATAAATATTTTGATATATTACTAACATTTACTAGAAAATCTATGGTGAGCTTGAATATAAATGATGATCTCGGTGGTGCAGTGATTTAATATACTGCCTCGCCTTCCCATGGTCATGAGCTCGATCTTAGTACAATATAAATATTCGCATTAATGACTATATCTATTTGGACTGGTCTAGATGTTATCTGTCTATAGTATGCATTTACAAAAAAAAAAGTATTTTAAATATGTCTAGTACCCATAGGTAGTACACGTAGGTGCAAGCTCTGCTTAGGGACTAGATGTTGCTGTATAATTTGCCCAATTATTTCTTTACTATTTATATTTATTTTTATTATGAAAATCTCTTATACTAAAAACTTTATATTTAACACATTTTAAAAACTAATACTTTATTAAACACGAGAATGAGCAAATTTTATAAGTAAATTTACCTTATAAAAACATACCTAATATATGATGAATCCTAACTAATTATTGAGTTGCGACGACTAGTCACGGTTCTCTTATGAATTACGTATTAACAATGGAGTATATACAAAAGGTTTTTTAATATAATCAACATCAACGTTGAAAAAAATATCTGACTGTGTATTAACTTGAGAAAGCCTTGAAATACAAGAAGAGGATAATTGAATTGAAATATAAGAATTTATTCAGTATAGTAAAGTAATAATATATACAAAATCTACTCGACTTTGTATCTTTTACTTTATACACATGTATTAACTTTTTATTACTAAGTACCTAGACATTCAGAAGAAGATAAATATTTTTAAATCTTATTTTTATTTACAACTATTCATTTTAATACAAAAAAGGTTATTTTTTTATAAGCATTCGATGGTATTAACTGTTCGAGTTTGGTGGAATTTCGAGTTTATAATAACAATAAATATATGTACTATACCAAAATTTAATTTCTACATACTACCTGAGCTGACGTTACTTTAATACATTCTCAAATAATAGTATATAATACGACAAGATCATATATAATATAAAAATCAAATTTTGAAAGTTTATACTTTTTTATCATTGTAAATGTTATTTTCTACAAAAGTTATAAAAATAAACAACAATTCATTGTTATTTAAAAAATGTTAATATTTTAATAGTTGTTGACTTTTTTAATAGTTTTTTAATATTTTAATAGTTGTTGACTTGCTTTTGGTATTATTTGTTAATACTTGACGCGATTTCGAGTTTCCTACAATGATTATGACTTTTGACTTTATTCCCACGCAAGTATATAATAGTAAATACTTTAGAGACTAGGTACTTAGACCATAGCAGCTTAAAACCCCATTATATAAAAATACGTTCGGTGTATTATTATATACACAACCTAAAATTAATTAAATAACTATTTCCTCTTCAGATTGTCAGGTATATAATTGTCCTTGCCTGGAATACCAGATCCGCCTGAATCGCCCAACCACGGGTACCTGAAAAGAGATATATTAATAATATTAATAACCGTTATTAAAATAATTACTGTCAATATAAATTAAGGAACGAGTTATTTAAAATGAAACGCTTTGTGAATTATAAGTAATGATGGAATTATGTTTGAGTATTAATTGTTCAGTAATTTTATCAGAATAATGTGAATTTACTTATTATTTTATTTCAATAATTTAATATGAGTTGAACTACTAATTCAACTTTTATAAGTTGAATTAGTTTAATTTTAATTAAATTTAATTATTTAAACTTCTAATTGATCATTCCTTTTTTGACAAACTTTTTGACGCCTACGATATTGTTAATGGATAAATTTTTACACTTAGTAATCTAACATTCCAATGCTCACTTTTTTCATTTTGATTAAATTTGTTAAAGATTTTAAAAGCATTAGCTTTTCTTCGAGATCCCATGAGTCTCATCGCTCAATATGTCAATGTACAATCAGTAACAAAATGCATATTTAAGTCGTTGGATGTAGGTATTCAGCTACTTTTTACATTTTATGATGTTCATACAATTTCATTTAATTTATTAAGGACCATAGGTAATCAACTATATTAGGAACTTTAGAAGTCTGATTGTTTTAATCTATATTTTTATACTGACTGTACCGATCTTATTCGAGTTGGAAGATACTGGTTTAGGAAATGAATATTGAACGACCCATAAATGTCCCATTATTGGGCAAAGGGTCTCTCCTCATTAGAGAAGGCTACGGGTATTAATCTACTACTACCGCGTCAGCCAAGTAACGTGGCAACAGGAGAAGAAAGGGATTGTTAGTAATGAAGTCTAATGGCCAATTGCTATCAATATAGGATATATTCTCAAGTGGATCACCACGCGATCCTTACAGAAAACTATCGTGGTTAATTCTTAATAAATTCATAGCGATGGCCTAATTGATCTGCTTTCATCCTCATCTATCATACTTCACTGGTCCTCGATAGCCCAAATACCCCGCCTACCATACAATTCAATTATCATCAATAAAAAATATAGCTTAGGGCTTTATACCGACGTTTCCTTCTCTTACACTAATGTGTCTGTGTGTGTATGCGTGATGTATGTGTTTTGTTCCCTTAAATTTAAGTAATTTTTTTTATTTAATATTAAATAGAAATCAAGACATATCGTTATATATACTCTTATTCTGTCCCCACATTCAATTAATATTAAGTACAAATAAAATATAAATAAGAATATATATACATATACATATATATATATATATATATATATATATATATATATATACGGGAATTTTGAGATGCTGAGGCGTAAGCATCGTACTCACCCTGAAAAAGATCTCCGATTGAAGTCGCAACAATTGTCGGAAAGTTCATAAAATTTCTATTATATTATATATAGACGTCCTTAAAAATTACCTTACGTTTCAAAAATAATATTTAACTTACTGATTGGGGCATTCACTGCAAGTCTCCATGTATCTCGTATCAGTGAAGTTTGTATCGGGATGTTTGAAAGACAGCGCGCACTTGTTAGGCAAATTACATGGCGCCGCCGGCAGATCCTTCTTGTCACATCGCCATGGTTCATAATTATTTAGCGATTTCACTGGACGAGGATCTGTTATCCAGGTCAGACCTTGGGTCACTGTCACGAACCATACGTCTTGCCTGCAAGGAAAAAATAATACATGATCATAAATCATAAGAAAACATAACAGAACCTGAATCGTATCGTGATTAATAGATATTGGAAACAAATAGGTAGTAACTGATATTTTATTTTAGGTACAGAAAACGTAATAACGCTACGTATCGTGTAATGGAATGAAGAAATATTGACGTAATGCAGTCATATCATATAGAATTTATAACATCTCTTTAAATATGTACTCATGTGTAAAAAATATTAATTTAAATAACGTTTCTGAATATAAATCTGTAAGAATATTTTACAATAAATATGCATAATTTGTTTGATTTACGTTGTTTTCAGTGTCGCTTTTTTATTTAAATTTTTATTTTGGTTTTCTAAAAGTACGCATGTTATATAATGTGCATATGTATGTGTATTATTTCAGCATTATCCGTCCACTGCTGGACATAGGCCTTCCTCATAGACCGCCATAAGAAACAGTCCTGAGCTACCTGCATCCACTAACTTCCCACAATGCATTTGAAGTCGTCACTCCCTTTAATGGTGGGTTATCCTACACTTCGTTTCCCCGTACAGGGTCGCCACTGAAAAACATTTCTGCCCCATCAGTTACCGTTTCTTCGAGTTATGTGACCAGCCCATTGCCACTGCAGCTTACTTATCCTTCGGGTTTTGTCGATTTCTTTAGTTCTTTTACAGATATCCTAGTTTCAGATTCTATCACGCTAAGAAACTCCGAGCATAACGCTCTCTATAGCCCACTGAATAATTTGAAGCTTTTTCATACAAGCAGTCGTGTATGACCATATTTCGGTTCTATAAGTCATCACTGGCAACACGCACTGGGTAAAGACCTTCGTCTTCAAAGCTTGAGGTATTTTGGATGAAAAAATATGGCGTAGTTTTCCGAACGCTGCCCAGCCGTGTTGAATTCGTCGGTTAACTTCTCGGTCGAAGTTGGACTTACCTATTCGGACAACTTGTGTGTATATATAGAGCTATAATTGTATCTGAAAATCTCTTGTACAGCAGAAATACGAACTTACAAACTAGAATTTACCTATCTAAAGTTCTAATTACAGCGTAAGGGTAAAACTTTCTTCGTCCGCGACATCACGGTGAAATGTTCCAAGTTAGCTTAACTTGTACTTCACAACATTGAGTCAACTAGGTGTACGCTTTGTCACTGTTTGCTACACACTACACACAGATACATTTCCATTGTTCAGTTACATTGTTTAAGTGAGTCTTTGTTAGGTGTATGGGCAAATAGTAAAACTGGTATTGTCAACAGAAAATATGAACAAATAAAGTTACTAGAAACAAAGTGGAATACAAACGGACCACTGGCATTGGATGGGGTGGATGTTAAATTAATTGAATTATGTGTAACTTTACGGATACAAGTACAAACAGGAGCCGCAGGTATTAGTTTTTTATAAAAAAACTAAACTAAAACTTTCGTAAAATTACTTTATCATTTGAGCAATATTTTTTTTAATTACAAGTTTTTTTTTCTAATTCTAACACAACAGTAACTGAAAAATAATGGAAATTGGATGAGTTTTTTTTTTATTTTAGTTAAAGTAACTTGCGTCAAAGACATTACAATATAAATCAACTATTTATATTTATTTATAAGTATCGTGGTGTGTAAGTAATATTTCGCTGAAAGTAGCTATAAGCCTCAACAAAAATAGCGTGATTTATTTTAATGCTGGATACTCAGCTGCGCCATGTCATTCCAATATTACTCAGTCGGCATTTGCTTAATTTCCAGCCTTCATAATAATATCCTATTATCCAATGTATAGCCCAAAATGAAACTTACAACATTAAAATTGTTGTATAATACAACACAACTGTAACACAAAATCCAGTAGCTGGAAAAGATCTTATTGTATATTGTGATTGTGAGTCATAAAACCAATAATACACACAAAGATACGTCAACAATCTCCACAATTGGTGAAAGAAAGCCCTCTCCGATTATTTGTTTCGGGACCAACTGTTTACATGTACAAATAATTTATACATGTAAGAAATATTCTTAGACGAATAAATTTTATTAACATCAAACTTCTTATACATATCTTTATATCATTTAAAAAGTAGCGGTATTTAATTTTAGAAAGTTTTCATTTATTAAAAAAGTTTGGTATGAATGTCAGAATTGTTTAATAATTTTCAAAAAAATTAAAATGATATCTAATATTTCTGATCGATTATTTGAAAGTGTTATGATAGCAAAATAAACTGTTAATTCCGGAGCACGGTTCATCTGTTTATTTTTTATTCAAATCCGAAAAAATGTTTACAAATATTTACAAGTTTTCTTAATAATATGTATTAATATGAATATGACATATAGATACAAAGACTCTATCGTATACTTTATTTTATACAACTAAGAATGGCAAACAAGCTGGTGGCCCACCTGATAGAAAGTGGTAACCGTCGCCTATAGACATGAGCAATACCATGGACATAACAGAGTATACTGTTTCGCCCATGATACCTCCCATGCGTTGCCATTCCTGAGAACTCAGGTTTTATTCCTCTGTGCCCTGTAAATTCACGCCATATCCCACCCTTCAAACCGAAACACAGTCATGCAAACACAACTGCTTTACGGTTGAAACACAAATGGGACAGAGGTACCCAAGCAAACTTCGGTTTCTATTAAGTCAATCAGCACATAAATGGATTTCACTCTGTCGCAAGATAATGTTAGGTGTTCTATGATCAAAAGGTACCTATAGGCTGGCTACATGATCTCAATCAATTAGAATTTATCTCTTCAATGTTAATATACCTAAGTAACTTGATACCATTTTAAATTATCATTTCGTTTTATCATGATAAAAACAAGAAGGAACCTCTATCAATTTACAAGTATCTGATGCCGAAGGGCATTTCATGCCAGTTTAATTGTTACAAATAGCAATTACAGCAAAATGGATCTGATAACACGATTGTAGTGTTCGAGTGGACTTTAACTACAGAAGCTAGACTTAAAAAAATACATTTCGTTTTTTCAACTGTTATATTTATATACTACCATAATAAATAGTCTGACTTTATTCTTATGTTACTACTTAACAAATGATATCACAATATCTGTAATTCAACATTCGAAAAATAAAAACACGTCTTATCTATTGTTTTTTAATATTAATATACGAGGTCTGTCCGGAAAGTTCGTATAAAAGTGTTCTGGAATGCGAGAAAGAGGAGTGGGGAGGCCAGGTAAGCGCAGGACCCCTTCCTTATGTCCCTAACAATGCTTCAGTTCTGGTCTGACCGCCGTGCGGTGCGAACTGGCTTGTCACGCCACCTGTGAAGTTACCTCTTAACGAAACCCCGTCGGCATGGAGCCCGCTTCCGTTGAAGAGCAGCGCGTCGTAATCAAGTTTCTCTCGAAACTCGGCAAGAATGGCCGTGAAATTTTTGCCGATCTCAGAACAGTTTATGGGGATGATGCTGTGAAGGAACCAACCGTCCACAAGTGGCTAAAAAGATTCAGAGAGGGCCGAGACAATGTTGATTGTTTTTTTCGATGTTCGGGGGATTGTCCATCAAGAATTCGTCCCTCCAGGCCAGACAGTTGATGGAAAATTCTACGTCGATGTGCTCAGACGCCTCAAAGCTCGTGTGGCACGAGTTCGTCCAGAATTGGCGCGAGAGGGGCGTTGGATTCTTCACCACGACAATGCCCCTGCCCACACCTCTCTTGTTGTCCGTGAGTTTTTGAGTAAAAATTCCATTACGGTGACCGAACACCCCCCCTATTCGCCGGATTTGGCCCCGTGTGACTTCTTCTTGTTCCCAAAAACCAAATTGGTACTTCGGGGGCGGCATTTGGGGGACATAAATGAGATAAAAAAAGCTACGACGGGGCAGCTGAGAAACCTACAACCAGAGGACTTTCAAGGAGCCTTCTCACAGTGGAAACGGCGTTGGCACAAGTGCATTATGTCACAGGGGGAGTACTTTGAAGGGGATAAAATTGATTTACCTGAATAATTGTAAAATAAAATTTTTAAAAAACTTTTATACGTACTTTCCGGACAAACCTCGTATGCATTGAAATGCAGATAAATAGTCGTAAATAAAATGTAATTGAAATGGGGCTTGACGTAGATACATATCACAGATAATTCATTGTTGTTTTAATCAAATTTATCTGCGAATTTTAAAATGCATATTAGCTATTTATATATTTTATGTAATTATGAAATATACGTATTTTAAACCTATAATTAATCGTATATACTTATTGCTATTTCCCAAAAATGGCATTACAAAATATAAACAAAAATTAGATTATCCTAGATTGTAGCTAACAGAGAGCAAGCAAGTCTAGTACATTATATTTTAACTCATCTTTTATTAACTGGAAATCCATTAAAAAGTCTTATACTAACAGAAATCCGCAGCGAGACTGTAGGCCGTTTCATTTTGACGGACAAAAATTACACCGAAGAATTCCTCTCATCTGTGTAATAGAAACTACATATATATTTAATGATAATCAATAAAATTAATTTGAGTTACTCGTATTCAAAACTCAGTCTTAAATTAAAATTTATATACTGAATTTTAGCTCTATAGTTACACTATTTTAGTTTGGAATAAAGTTGGTTAAATTATTCCTCGTTCTTTTTACTACTTTCGACTGCTAAATTGTAGTAATGGCGAATTATGCCATTTAAATATTCCAAATAAAAGAGAAAACGATAATATTGATAATTCAAGAAGAGCTCTACGACTATGTTGTAACTAGCTCAAAAGAAGATCCTGAAGGCGTGGACACGAAAAAGCAAGAAAATTCACTAACAAAGATACGTTTGAACATCCTCCCTGACGTATGTTTATTATAAACAATATATATTTAATGTAGGTAACATATTTATAATTTATTGTACAAATAAAGCAAGCAAATCGTCACTTTCATAATACCAATAGGCGAGTCCATCCGAAATAATAAGGTACTAAAACAAGCTATTAATTTATCTACAGTATCAGCGAGTGATATAGACTGTATTTTATTTCCAAAAAAATACTGCAAATCTGAGGCGGGTCGCTAATAGTACATTTAGTATGCAAATATATATTTCTCATATATATTCAATACCTACATATAGTTGCATTACTGGGCATGATTCTGAGGTGACATTTCTCTATCTCTTAACCTAATACTTTAATTCGATAATATAATAAACTAAATTTATAGCAATTCTTAAATTTATTAGAAAATCAGTTTATATTTGTCCTTATAATAAAGGTTTCGCTGTGGCATTAAATCGAAATTTAAACTTTAGAGATTGATTTAGAAAAATAGCACCTCAGAATTAAAAAAAGTTAAGTAATATTACGAAAGTAAAAAAACTTTAAAGTATAGATTTTGTAACGTTCATTTTCCTCGGACTTTGTTATTGTAATCTTATTGTAATTTTTTTTTTTAATTATCCATAATTGAGCCAATAGATGTATGATAAAAAGAATAAATGAATAAAGAAATTAAAACTATTAATCCCCTCAAAGAAAGTTGGTATTACAAGAAACAAAGTAACTCGATAATATGTCAATAAATATAATATACCAAATGAGACTAATAGTATTTTGTTTTCATATATCCTTCAGGTTATATAAGTATTATTTAAATAAAATAAATATTCACTAGACCGTACTCACAAGCCAGATACCCATTGCAGGAATTTGTGTAGTCCCCTTTCGAGCGCTTTAATCTGGAACCAGTTGGTATGGAATGGCATCATGTACGGCGCTCTGTTCTGCTCGTAATACCGACTGAAGTCCTCCTGCAGCCATTCTAATACCTGCATTGTATTTATAATATACATTAATTAATCTTATTGTATTCTATTTCTTGTAAACTTGATTACATACAACGATATAAAAAGTATCCTATATGTTAAGTAATATAACTTACAGGTATACCAAATTTTATTCCAATCCAGTAACAAACATATACACACTTTCACGTTTAAAATATACTTAAAATATAATAGGATGTTTTATTAGTTAAATGTAATTTTGGTGTGCCTTGAATATTAATTCTCTGATCCTTTTACTTACAAATGCGAATCAAAATACGACACCGACGATTACGGATTATTGTCTTAGCTGATTTTGAATTCTAGGAAACACTATATTTGATTTAGAAATACCTCCACATATAGGTACGTTAGATAGAATGGTGTGAGGTCGTCCATTATATATTCAAGCTCAAAGTTTACATCTGAAGAGGAGGGTCATCGGTACTTCATACCCATGTACTATTCCACAATTTATATTATATTAATTGTGGAATCGTAGAAGTATTTTTATCATGATTATAACGTAGAATTACAATGTATACGTGATAGACATATTTGCTTGCAATTCCGCGATTAGCATAATGAGATTTTTGTACTCCGTAGACACAAGGTTCGTCGTTTGCCCAGACGACTTCAATTATTTACTGACAGAAGAGTTACGTGATTTGCCTAGATCAAGCGCCATCATCTTATCTATGTGCGTATTAAATCATAATGTATATGTACGTACATTCTGATTGAATAATAAGATTTAAGAAGGATCTCTCTAACGTATTTAACATCACCATTGGTGTATTAAAGATTCTTTTCCAGAGTGGGCCTGGTCCCTTAAAAGAGGCATACACTCTCAAACATGTCTTTTCGTATAGCTGAAAGTTCCTCTCGAATCCTGGGGTGGGCCCGCTCCTACCTCTTTAAATATGCCTATGAATATCCCACGTTAGCCCTCGGGAGCCGCAATGTATAAGGGATAATACAGGCGACACGATAGATGCCTTTATGTTTTGTGATGTCTGTAATATCATTTATATCCAATGGCGACCAATTCATATCGAATGGTTAACGTACTCGTATAAATATGACTTCGTATTTTGCATTTAAATTTAACCATACAATGCATCAAAATGATTAATCTTTTGAAATAAATTTAAATTTATAAAAATTATAACATTATTAAAAATGTATTAATAACGAAAGAGTTTTTGTTTTCGACGTGTTTTTTATAAAAAATCTTTATAATAAAAAAATTTTATAATCGATAATGTTTTCTTCTATATTATATTATTTTTTTTTATACAACTTAGATTGGCAAACAAGCTGACGGCCCACCTGATGGAAAGTGGTAACCGTTGCCTATAGACATGAGCAGTACCATGGACACAACAGAGTATACTGTTTCGCCCATGATACCCCCATGCGTTGCCATTCCTGAGGACTCAGGTGTTATTCCTCTGTACCCAGTAAATTCACGCCAAATCCCACCCTTTAAACCGAAAAAAAAAAAAATATATATATATATATATATATATATATATATATATAAATTACTCGTATTATTTTTGGCAAAATAGATTTTTTTTTCGTGGCACCAATCATAAATTACGCAAATTGTAGTAAGTGCTTTCTATTGACATTACTTCTAGTTCTAGTGACTGTTTACATAAAAAATATTATCTAATAAATTATTTTCGAAAGCAAATACTCGACATGTATTCTAGATAACGATGTATTGAATATCATCAAATTAATATACAATATGACCATTAGGGAAATTCGTCAAGGCAAAACAGCTCATTACGAAATTCAGAAAGTTGAACAAAATGCTAACGAGATTAGGCAAGTAGGGGAGGGTCAACACGTATATAACACACACTTCCATGTTTTTAATGCGTTGTTGTTGCGCGTAAATTGTGAGATAATAATTTATGCTTATTTAGAGAAAAAAAAAAGTAATAAATACATACAAATACACATACTATTATACCCTTGGGCATATTACTCAGCCATTTAATTCCAAAACTAAGCAGAGCTTATACTATGAGTACTAAATTACTAATAGAATTATATAGTTACTTTTTTTTTTAGTTACAAAACACCAAGACCAATACAAACAGAGGCATAACACAATAATCCTCAGGAATGGCATCGCATAAGGAGTAGCATGCGTATTTCAGTACATTCTGTGCTGTACATGGTGCTTTAATAACTATAGGTGACAATTATTACTTTTCATCAGGTTAACTGTCAGTTTTCATACATACAAATATTGCATTGTATGAAGAATGAACCCGGGATTGCTGAATGATAAAACAGTATATATTACTACAAATCACATATCATATTATATATCACATATTATATTATATATATCTCATATTATATAGCTATTTATAATCTTATATATAAAAATCTCGTCTCACGTTGTTTATGGTCGATGTCCTCCGAAACGGATCGAAATATTTTTATAAAGTTTTTTATGTATATTTAGTAGGAATGAGAATAGGCTGTAAAGTAGACTAGAGGGAGACTTTGTACAAAAGTCGATTGCTTGGGTACCTCTGTTCCATTCGTGTTTCTACCGTGAAGCAGCTGTGTTTGCATGGCTGTGTTTCGGTTTGAAGGGTGGGATATAGCGTGAATTTACTGGGTACAGAGGAATAACACCTGAGTGCTCATGAATGGCAACATATGGGGAGTATCATGGGCGAAACAGTATACTCTGTTATGTCCATGGTACTGCTCATGTCTATAGGCGACGGTTACCACTTTCCATCAGGTGGGCCTTCAGCTTGTTTGCCATTCTAAGTTGTATAAAAAAAAAGTATATGTCATACTGCCAGGTGATCTGGGTAACCCTACCCATAAAAATGTATTTATATGGCAGAACAATGTAAGCCGAGTTAGTTAGTTATATATAACTTAAAATTACATACCTCGTCAGAATCATGATTGTGAAGTACACACTGGTCTAAATAAGGACAGTGGCCACCTTCAAATGACTCTACATAATGGGCATTGAACGGCACCTCCCATAGACCTTAAACAATACAAATATTTATTGATAAATTTGAAATTTTTGCAGTATTTAAAGCACGATTCATGTATCGATATATCATACAATTTATTTTACTTAATAAAATAATATAAAATCATTAATCAATTTATATAATATAAATTATAATAATAATTTTATAACATAATATCAATTATAATAAAATTACATAAATACATTACGTACTATATAAGACTTAATACATAAGGTTAAATAGTGAGTTATCTGAGTTTGAAGAAAGTTGATGTACTAATTCGTATATGTTTATTTATTCACAAGTAGGCATTTTTTACTGCCTATAACAAATTAATTTATTGATTGGCTTATTTAAAATCATACCTCAGTCCTAAAAGATACTTTCAGGTTCTTTTATACATTTATAATTTAGGTAATATTACCATAACGGAATAGTTCATTACAAAAATATACTTCGTTGAATCCAAATAATAAGATAAAGGTAAGGTCATAATAATAAATTTTATGTAATTAATTAAATCTATTTTTTTTGCAACGTCTTAACGTGTTCAAGTAGAAAGGCGCCATCTTATTTCCAGGCAGGTTTCACGACAATGCCTATATAGTTTCTAAACTACATTACGCAAAACGTTCTTTGAATAATAAACCTCTGTTTAAGAATACCTTAAAAATGTCGTCTTGGAACTTCATAATTTTATTATGAAGTTCAACAAACGAGCAATTACGGAGTTTTCTTCTTTCTTGTTTAATCAAGTTTTCATTTTAATTAATTTATATAATAAAAACTTTTATTAAAATTAGTTTTAAGATACCAATTACAGATTAGGAAAGTCAATTATTACACAAGATCGTTTTATTACTCTGTACTAGCTTGTACACGTGTATTTCAGAAATAGAAAAATCAATGAAATAGACCATTTCTGGATGACATGTGTAAAACATAAACTAGTTTTTAAGTTAGACCTTCAGGAATACAACTGTGAACTCTGCTACTAATTTTGAGCAGAAGTTTTTCGTAATACTAGAACAAACGTTCAGAAATATATTTATAAATTTCTAAACATAATTTATTATTTTGAATTCTATTGCTCTTATATTAATATTGGGGTCTTATCCCTCATATTAATATTTCTTAATTTTCTCCCATTTACAGATATCGTCTACTTACCATTTTACTATATTAGTAAGATAAAGAGAAACTTTAAAAAATAATATTATATTAATATAAAGTTCTTAATAAAACACTAAAAATAATGTTCTTCCTCGTCGTTTCTTTATTGAATTTGTAGAATTCTATTTATAGGTTTTGTTAATTTGATTTTTACTCCACGACAACTATTTTGAATTTACCAAGTTAACTAACCAATTTACAATAAAAATTATTCTTGTTATTATTTATTAACTAGCAGTACCTACGACATTTTCTATGTAATTAGAATATTGTCTGAATATAAAGAAGCTTATATTTTTAACTATATTAAACACTACGCATAATTTCATGTCGAATGAATGAGCAGTTAAGGCATTTATAATATTAACTAGCAACCCGTCCCGGCTTCTCATGGGTGCAAAATAAAAACAATGTAATGTTAATATGGAGTAATTAATAATATTGTTATAGTATCCGTCTAAGTAGTTTTCCAAAGTTTACATAATTTATATACGAGTATATATATTTTTTTTAATATTAAAATAGTTATAGAATGCCATCGCGGACTCTTTTTTAAACCTAATAAAAAGAAACAATTCAATCATTTATTATTTTGTTATATGTCAACAACATACCAAATCATACATGTATGTTAAATGTAATGCAATTAGTTGAACTGCCTTTCACAATTAATAAAGACGTAAGGATTGGCAAAATTCTAAACATACTACTTACGATAAATTTGAATATTTTTATACATTCGTATACACTGCTCTATCTGTATAACAAAGAGTTAAGTAGCAACGGTATACGGTGCCTACTAAGCGAACAATTCAACGGAGTGAGACGCGTAAATCTTTAGGGAAGGCTGATTTTACTTTTACTCACCGGGGAAAGATTTGGTGGGGCATGTACCCGACTTGCACTCGTGAGCGATCTTGTAGTCAAGCGTGTACGGCCAGACAGGGATCGGCAGGGGAGGCACGCCTACTGAACTGTCGTATATGTATCCAAAATCTTCCAACACCTGTGAAATTTAGGAACATAACAGATAATCGTTATAAAGAAAAAAAAATCTTTTTTTTACGGAATATAATGGCATGATAGCCCTACTATCGCTATTAATTTATGCTAAAACTGAAGCCAGAGCGTTCAACCTATCGTTACGAATTCACCGGTAATTAAATAACTACGATAATTTCCAGTGAAACCGCGTGGAAGTCATTCTAACTCAATGATCAGTATGACTTCCTAATGCTCCATCATCTAATCCATTGCTAGTAATCCAGTAGAATACAATATATTATTAGCAATAATACCACTAATTCCCGTTCCTTCCATCCGTTCATATTACAACTACCTGCCAAAAAGCAAAAAGGGTTAGGTATCTACTTTATTTGTAATAACTCAGTTAGGAGTGTATAATTATTAATTATTCATGATGTAATGTTCAGAGTACCATTATTATCTTTTCAGCCGTTAATAAATTGTCCTCTGTTGAACATACCATACTACTATAAGTACTATTCCAACATATTTGTGGTCATCATTCATCATTCAATAGGGATCACTATCCCATCGGATGTCAGTTCTTCAAAATATTTATACTAATAAGCTATATGGTTGAACCATTACCACTTTAATATAGCTTGGTAATCTCGGTTATATCAATTACATTAGTTAAATTGGTCATAGAGTTAAGCCGATATTATGATGAAGTGGATATTCGTAAATAAATTAAGTGACAGTTTAATTGTAGTTCAATGTTCAATATTTTCATATTGTGATTATTTTCTGAAGAGAAATTGTACAATTTCATAAATATTGAAAGTATTGTGACTTTTATGACACTGTTAATATGTGTAAACGACGGTTACCACTTTCCATCACGTGGGCCGTCATCTTTTTTACTATTTAATGATAATGAAGTAGTTCATTTTCTTCACAGTACCAGTAGTTTATTTTATTCAATATAAATGCTTATAACTACTACCGACTAAATCGTCTTTCAAAAAAAGCGTTCACGCTTACTTTTTATCTTTATCCGAGCAGTAAGTGCTTCATATTATTCCCAATAATTTGTTCGGATTACAAATATTATAAACGATATTAGTATTCATAAAGTTATTTATTCTTTTTTTTATACATCTTAGAATGGCAAGCAAGCAGACGGCTCACCTGATGGAAAGCGGTAACCGTCGCCTATAGACATGAGCAGTACCATGGACATAACAGAGTATACTGTTTCGCCCATGATACCCCCATGCGTTGCCATTCCTGAGGACTCAGGTGTTATTCCTCTGTACCCTGTAAATTCACGCCATATTCCATCCTTCAAACCGAAACACAGCCAAGCAAACAACTGCTTCACGGTAGAAATACGAATGAGATAGAGGTACCCAAGCAATCAACTTTTGTACAAGGTCTCCCTCTGGTAGACTAGTAGGTATTGGATATGTTTTACACACACACAAACATTATTTTAGTAATATTTTTATACTGTTTTATAACAGTATAAAAATATTACTGATAAGTTTTTTTCCAAAAAATCCCAATACAGTGGCTGGTTCAACCAATTGCGCTGGCTAGCTGCCAATCCATTGAGATGAACCACGGGTGCCGTGCCGCACTGAAGTACGTATGAATGCAATATACAGCTGTAAATGCAAAATTTATTTCTTTCATAGCTGTTATTTTTTAACAGTCAAATAAATTGAAAATATGCAAAAAAATATTTATTTATTTATTTATTCATTATACTAAATCCTACTAAATAATACGAATGCTTTTAAAAAATAATCTCGTATAAATCATTTAAAATTTTATTTTATAAAAATCTATTTCAATCTTGAAAAATTTGGCATTAAGATCAACTTTTTAGTTGTTACTATGAATAAAATATCTCGAATAAAATTCAATTAAGGATACTTATCATTGAGATCGCATTGCATGCAGACAAAAAAAATATGTTATAGTCTAATTATGAAGAACATCGTTTTGCTAAATTTTAAAACTTTATTAAGAATACTGTAATAAATTAATCTTACTAATATTACAAATACGAATCTCATCAATTGAACCGATTATCATAAATTTTGGCATATATATAATATTTGACAAGCAAAAAGATATAAACTATTTCCGTGTCCTGTCACTTGGACAAAATCTCGAGCACATTAATATGTATATGCTAAGTTAAAAATATTTAACCACCTGACAGCTCGATAAGACGGAATTTGAACCTGCATTTTTTAATTGGTTAACCCGAGCAAAGTTAAGATTCTCTAATTTAAAATGAATATTTAAAAAAATATTAATACTTTATATTATTACGTAATAATAATTTAAGTGTTGCCCCTTCTCATAGTGGTTGTGTAATACATTATGTATTTATCTTGATATTATATATAATAATCGCGTATCACGAGATTCATTCACGCTAATCTCCGAATCGCTTGAGAGAGCTCCAACATGAGAATTAGGATTTTTTTATTCTGAAATAAGAAAAAATAACCCGATTTTGTCGGGCCAGCTATCCATTGATTGTTATATAAATAATGTTATATATAAGCATGTATTGTTATAATTTCAACATCTATTTTTCTATATGAGTAAATAAACTTGCTATTACTGAAACAAGTGTAATGAACGTGAGCGGACCAGTCCCCTGTGCCGTACCTACGTGACCCTACGCGGAGTTTAAATTAACGTTGATTGCTTAATTTATCACCCACACGGGTAAACGAGCTAGCACAGAGAAACTAATCGATAGACGTAAATTTGAACGCGAATAGGCAATGTTTCCCATACGCAGCTGCATCCGTCATTCATTCGACGAGATTGCCAACGATAAAATAAATTTGAATTTTGCAACTAAATAAAATCCAAATAGACTGACCAATATTTCATTCTATTAAAAATAAAACTACATGAAACATATATAGTTAACATATGGCGTCGACTATAACAAAATTACTGATAATATAAACTACTAGCTAGGCCCGCGACTTCGTTCGCATGACTATGATAAAAAGTAGTATCTATCCTTCTACATTCCATAGACTACATACCTATATGTTTAATATCATGCCCATTGATTGTGCCCTTAATACGCTAAGATATAACAAACAATCAAATGAACTCATTTTCACATTCATAATAAGTATTAGTAAGGATAAGCATAAGTGACAGCCGAGCACGTTCATTAGAGTGATTATGTCTTAGATCTTATATTAAGAGATTGTTCTTAGAATAATAATCTAATAATCCATATATTATACTTAGCACAGTCAACATTACATGAAAAATATAAGAATGGAAACAAAGATACTTGTAAGCATTCATACTGAAACTCACTAAAGTACGAAAAGTCGCAATTACCCGTCACTTTTAAAGACAAACAATTTTCAACATTTCTGTTTAAATATTTAAAAACCGGTCAAGTGAGAGTTAAACCCACTCGCCAAAAGATTCATATATAAAATAGCGTCTAAAAAGGTTTTTGTTTTCTTTCGATAAAAAATTATTTCATAACGTTATACCTACACTCGTTAATATATTTATTTTTTACTATTACGGTCCCGCGATCGATCACTATCTCACCAAATGGAAAACGATGATGTGGTCTAAGATGGGACTCGCGGGCTCATAAGTAGCTTATTCACATTTGCATTAAATTGATGCAGACTATATTTGGATGGAAAAACATAAGAGAGGTCCACTCTTTGGCTATACGCATGATGAAGAAAGACGCAAAATACTTCGTGCGTGAAAATAGTAGTAATTTGATAATTTAATTTTGAGCGATGTTCTAAATTTTAAAATTTGAAATGTAGCATCAAATTGTCCCCTGTGATCTTTTTGGCTCGGCGTTCAATAGAATTAAGTGAAACCAGCTGGCACTTCATCAAAAATAGTTTAAAAACCAAGAAAAATAAGACCAATTATTTACTACAAGAGTTTCAAAATTAGGTTCGTTTTCATAAGTCTTTTTTTTAATTCTCAAAAACTGTGTTAATTAGAAACATCATTTTATAGCTTCATAAACTGTTATTATTTTAAAATTTTTGCTTTACAAACTTCAGAGACAAAGACTACGTAAGTATTCTTTTGTACCCTAGAAAGTGCTCCGACAGCATAAATTAATAATCAAACAAAAATATTGAAAACTAGCTGTATCCCACGGTTCCGCCCACGTTAATAAGTATACAAAGTATCTTATGTACTAAGTTAAGATATAACCTACCTGTATACCAAATTTTTTCATTCAAATCCATTTAGTAGTTTTTGCATAAAAGAGTATATATCCTTCCATATATTGTCTCTTTGGCCTTTTGGCAACTTTTACATATTACAATATTGAACAGGATTGTTCAATTATTTTTGATAATTTTGAAAAATAACTTACTACGCTTCGATAAGCTTCGTTATAAACACTTATTGTTATACCATAAGAATAAATTTATTCTTATTCTTTCTAAACAACCCATTAAAATAAATTACATATAGCAACTTTCTCGGTTTTCACCAGTTAAAAAGATAAATAATAAAATATTACTTACATCATTCTTACTTGCGTTTAATTAACTTTATAACGATCTAAATGAACGCGAGTAAAAAACTCGATCATTATTTTTATTTGTCTGTAAGCTTATCTTTGTTGTTATTGTATTATTATGTAATAGATAATATTAAACAATCGGTTATATAATATTATTTTAAATACTTATACTTAGTACATAACACTTTTTTTTAATTAGTGCTTTTATTTATATTCGTAACATTAATATATTTAACTACAATTTATACAAAAAATAAATGATTATAAAGAATAAGTAGGTAGATTTTATTTTTTAAATAGATAAGTCTCCAAAACAGATACGACAGATTTCTGGGTTTTACATAAGTTATAATAATAATAATAAATATTTTTTATTCAAGTCAACTTAATAAAATAAAATTATAATAATATTTTTTTTATAAATCTACGGCCCAGTTTCGAATGCAATTTCAACTGAGAAGAAAGGGCAAGAAACACAGCTGTTGCTTTATAGCTAATACCTTCAGGTAATCAACTTTCGTATTCTGATTTTGTACTTCTTGTAAATATTTTTTATTTGCGACTGATTTAGAATAAATATTTTACAATAATCGAATTAGGAAGTACAAGTACTTTAAATAATATCATAAATCAATACAGTAAAATCCCATCAAATAGTCACAACACAAACAGTGACTTCTAAAATACGATTTGACATTCAAAATTATAACTCGAATAAATATAACTCAGTTTCACCTACAATAGGTATAAGGAAAAGTTATTCTAAGTAAATTTATAAGTAACGGCAGATGACTATAAACATTTTTTTAAATTTAATCCTTAAGATGCCCCTCTGCTGAGCACAGAGAAGGCGTTTTCACTCGCATTCTTATATATATTTCTGTGGGTGGGTGTGTGTGTGTACTTTCTCATATCTGTTCAAAAGCACAAAACTCGTCACGCTCTCTGTGGGCCTCATATCACAACTTGTCGAGAAGGAAATGATTGTTAATAATTTCTAATGTTGGATTATCTCCATATCTACCCCCGTATAAACAACATGGTTAATACCTAATAAAGACGCCACAATGAGTCAACTAACCTGACTTCTTTGTTACCATTTCATCGTTTACTGGTATCTCGTCATAAGATATCATTAGTATAGACGAGCATTACTATATCATGCCACCTTCATTTATTATAAAAACAAAAACACATCATAGATGGACCAACCTTCGATTTAACTGTATACGATAAATATCTCTCGCCAATTCCCACTTTAATCTAAATCATTTGATAAAATAAATATTATTATACATTAAACAAGTTTACCTTGAATTGCGTATTCCGTCCAGGTTTCAGGAATGGAGCACGAGCACCCACCACGTCAGTGCGTGAGACGTTCGCAAAGCGGCGCAGTATTTCGCGCATACCTATCATCTCGCCGGCCCATTCTTCATATCCCTTGTCTTGGAGCCCTTGTTGTTGCGACACGGTGCCAGTTGCAATCTGAAAATATCTTACTGTTTTATTTGTTAAGAACTAAAAACCTTTAAAATGAATCTATCTTATTTTATTAGGCTTCATGTCTCCGTCTCTCAAATAAAAAATTTAGTACAAAAGAAAAAAAAAACACTTCAATAGCATTACTCTATCATCTTCACCAAATTTCAATAATTATATAAAAAATATGTATCACAATGTTCGTTCTCAGTAATCTACGAAACTGCTCTGAATTTTTAATGAAAATTTGTAAATGTGTATTGCTTGATCCAACGTAAGAGATAGTATAGTTTTTATTCTTGTAAAAATAAATGGCGCCGGTAGGTGCCGGATTAGCTACTGTATTGTAATAGTTATTTCAAATGTTATATTTATTACTTGTATTTTGTTGGAAACCCTTGTTGTGACACATAAGCAAAAACTATTTTTATACATATATCTCTAAGCACTACAAATACTATACTGTATAATAAATTCACAATACAACTATATATGTTTGATAAACTACATCTGAATTTATAATGAACTTTTATTTCTAAAGAACTATGGTAAATAACTAACATTTTTATTTATGGCTACTCTACTTGATTGTTTAGAAACTAAAAAACCTAATAGGTATTGTTTTGTTATTATATATCTACTGCAGGCTAAGGCTATGTTATTATAGGCACATCCTAATATAAACAATAAATATCGTAGTAATTTTTACAACGAAATATTCGGTAAAAGCAATTTAATAATCTTCTCAATTAAAAATATTACATAAAATCAGAATATTTTTAATTTTTCAACTATAAAAACTTATTTCACCTGGATTGTTTTAAAAAAATATATGAACAATATTTTGTTTTGTGTTTTGTATATATATAATATGTCTTATATTAGCAAGAAATTGATTAACAGAAAACATTGACGTGAAAGTGTTCTTTTACGTCTTCCGCATCAAAAATGGCAACAACGATAACTATTTACCATAATTAAGTCATAATGCTTATGCCACACTTGTGGCATAAATAAAACATTCTTTCAATGACTTACCTCATGACCGTCGTGAGCGAGAGCTTGAACCATGGCATAATTACTAAAAAAAAATTAAACGACTATTTAAAAATTAATGACTCTATGTCTATAAACTAAATAGATAACAGAACGTGTCTAATGATTTAAATGAGCTTAATTTAAATCATAAGCAAATTATGCTTTATATTTTACTAACTGTACCACACTACTTTGCCTAAGTTAATTAGAATAAAATGTATCCCATATATGTGAACATCTAGAATATGATCTTTCTGCCTGTGTACCAATTTTCAGTCCCATCTGTTCAATAATTTAAGCGTTATTAGGTAACAGATATTTAAACCTTTATACTTTTAATCCTTAAAGTTTATAAAAAAATTCATTTGGTTATTTCTCGCAATTTTGTCCTTTGTTCTTGTGTAACAAGGATAAAAAGTAGACTGTCTTTCTCTATCCCAAACTTCAAGTCGATAAGTCATAGTATTAACAAAATAAGGTCACAAAAAAACAAATAAAGAAACTCACTTTCATATTTAAAATAAGAGTAAATATTATATTATATCATCATATCAGCTTTTAACTGTCCAATGCTGAACATAATCCCATGAACATACCCCTTGGGGGGTTTTCCAGTAGTTACCACACTTGGTAGGCGGTTTGGCAACCGCAGTCAGATTTTAGAGATGTTTTAAGAGGGACGCTGCTGCCCGTCCCTTGCCCTCTCATGGTCGCCTCTTACGACACCCACGGGTAAGGAAGCGGTAGCCTATTCTATACCGGGACCACACGGCATTAATTATTATATCACATAGTAATATAAAATAGTACTATTATTTATATTGGTATATATAAATAAGAATTTGGTAAGATTTACTGCCAAATATTTGTATCTATTTCAAATTCCTATCCGAAATAATAATAGTGATAATATTATTAGATACGAACGATATTATTAGTTGTGGACATAAACATCTTTAATTAGTATTATTAAATAAAACTTAAATTCAAAATACCTACCTGTATTCATGAGACAGGAAGAAAGTCCCTCTGATAGGACAACCATTTGGATTCTTTATTTTTCCATTAAAAACTTTTTTGTATAATTCAAAGTTATTCAAGTTGACAGCACCGTCGAATGTTAACATAATCAGTTGTGGCGTCTGTGAAACGGTATTGACAGTATTAGGTTGTTTCTAATTATTATAAACTTTTTTTATGGACCATGAAATGGTTAACAAGCTGACAACCTACGTGATTATAATATAATATAATTCATTTTTTATCAAGTAAATATGGATATCATAGAATGCCCATAATACTCTTTATGCGTTACCAGTCCTAAGGACTAGGATGTTATGCATCCATATGTACCCAGTAATTTCACTAATTTATTACATTTTTTTCTTTTTTTTTTATGCAGTTTAGAATGGCAAACAAGCTGACGGCCCACCTGATGGAAAGTGGTAACCGTCGCCTATAGACATGAGCATGACCATGGACATATACATAGCAGAGTATACTGTTTCGCCTATGATACTCCACATGCGTTGCCATTCCTGAGGACTCAGGTGTTATTACTCTGTACCCAGTAAAAAAATTGAAATAAAAATAAACACTGCTTATACGAGTATACTATATACTGATATCGCACCCTTTAAACCGAAACACAGCCATGCAATCACAACTGCTTCACGGTAGAAACACGAATGGGACAGAGGTGCCCAAGCAAACGACTTTTGTACAAAGTCTCACTCTGGCACTACAATTCTCTGAATACTACCCTAACCAAATTATTATGGAAGTAAAATCACAATATAAATTGATTAAATGTAGTTTTATACTTTTTTCATTTATAATTTTACACAGAGAATAAAGAATTCAAACGCTTTTATTAGATAATATTATTCTGCTTTATTAGTCCTATATTTTAAATAGAATATTGTATTATTTATACATCTTTCCATACTTGCAAAATATACCTACAGCCTTAATTATATAAATGTGTCTTACAGCAAATAGAAAATACGCCTGTACACTTTAAACCATCCCAAATTGGCTATTAAAAGCGAACTCGGGACAAAATCTCCTCGGCTGAGTGGACAGCCGTTAAACTAGTTAATAATGAATACCACTTACCTCCTCTGGATCGAGGCCGCCAGGGATGAGAGTACCGTCTTTGGAGCAAAAGCAATATGGGAGTTGACATGCGGCTGGATCGCATTTCGTTGCTAAGTCCAGGGGCGCTTCGGTGATAGGAGCCGGAGCTGAAATTAGAACAAACGGTAATTTAACTAAGGCACATTTTCAATAACTATTCAAACTTTCACGGACTTAACCATAACTGTCACTTTACAATAATTTTGAATAATATTTATATTACAATTATTATTAACTATTATTATTAATTTGTGTCCGCATTATCGAGAAATTTTATTTATTTTTTTGAGGCAAGTTTATAGAAGTCTATTTTAATTAAGATTATTGTTGTTGAATATTCCTCACTGCATACCTACCTACAAAAGAATTTATAATAAAATTATTTAAATTATTATTTTATTAATTTGTGTATAATTTAATAATATATTAATAGTTTGTATAACATAATAATGTAAAAATTTTAATTAATTAAAATGAAATTATTATCGCAATGACTGTAAACTATGGGTACATACCTAAAAATAAAAGATTTATTATATTATTATATCTGTGAATTATAATTCATCACTCCTAAATCATTCTGACAAAGCCTTGACAAAGCATTAAAGCTAATATGTTAATTATAACCTATACGATTAAAGCAACTTAAATATTTTCACAATAACAAACTGTTTTGAAATTCAGTACCTTGTACCCCTTTTTCGATATAAATTCTTTTCGACTGCGTTATGTAATACTAACCCTTTTGCTTTTACTATAACCTGGAAATTGGATATTATTGAGGTTAGCGCTAAATAAATTATTCATGTTTTTCATAACACCTGTGAGTATGGAAAAAAAGAATTGACTTTCAACTACGTACTAACAGGGCAATTACATTATAATGTGGTGTTTGTATAATCTGTATAATATTTAAATTTGTGTTTTTACAAATTTTATTTGAATGAGGGAGGGAGACTTTGTACAAAAGTCGATTGCTTGGGTACCTCTGTCCCATTCGTGTTTGTACCGTAAAACAGTTGTGTTTGCATGGCTGTGTATCAGTTTGAAGGGTGGGATATTGCGTGAATTTACAGGGGTACAGAGGAATAACATCTGAGTCCTCAGGAATGGCAACACATGGGGGGTATCATGGGCGAAACAGTATACTCTGTTATGTCCATAGTACTGCTCATGTCTATAGGCGACGGTTACCACTTTCCATCAGGTGGTTCGTCAGCTTGTTTGCCATTCTAAGTAGTATAAAAAAAATTGAATCTATGTATAACTAATCTATCATTCCGTTATCGAACTAGATTATAAAACTAGTCCACGACGATTTCATCGCGCTCGATTCAGATAAATACGAAATAAATATCATATAAATTATTATAAATTTTATTCAAAATGTTTGCATAAATAAGAAATTCATATCGATATAAAATAATGCCTGCTAAAAAGAAAACGCCAAAGTCAAATATCATCTTTTTCACTTTTTGTTCGGACGCATATATATGATGATATGACAATTAAAAATACTCATAAAAATAAAAGAAATTAAGTACCTACTTGTAAACCAAATTCATTCTAATAAGCCACATCTCATTTTCTTTCAATATTATAATCACGTATTTACTAAATACTGTCGGTAGAGGTTTTGTGTGTTTTATAGAGAGTGGTTCCGAGTAACACCGATGCCACTGGCTAGACAAATATTGTATTTTGCATACATGTAAAGTGCTTATATAAAGTTTTATACATATAGTGATACATGTAAAGAACATTATTTCCTCTTATGTAAATGTCACAACAATTGTTCTCATCATAATTAACATTAAACATCGTGTCAAGTCATGCTGACTTGCTTATTTTTACCACTACGGTGCCAAAACGTTTAATTCAAAAAAGTAATATAGATAATCTAATCTCTTATACAAGCGATCTATAACACTCTATTGCTGGGGGGGAAGGAATTGTTAGTAATGGGGTCAAATAGCCCTATTACTAGCAATATACCCTGTCGGGTCGACCTCCACGTGGTTCCCCCTGGAAACCATCGTGGCTAATTCTAATTGAATTCGTCAGGATGGGCCAACTGCTTTCATCCTCATCAGTGATCTATCACTGGCGTCCCGCCAGTGTATACCGATAGCGCAGGCGGGGTTACCATACCATTATCACCAATTAAAAAAAAACACTCTATTGCTACTTGAATAGCATATAGAGGGCCGCAATAATATATCTAATAGATAAGTACCTGTATTAATCCATGATGTTCATATCTATTAGGCGACGGTAACCACATTCCACTAAGTAGTTTGTCAGGTTGTTTGCAATTCTCGGTAGTACAAAAAAGATTAAAATTCAGTATAAATTTAGTAGGTACTTACTTGTAGCAATAGGACCACATCTGGCTTCAGCTTTGAAAGTACAATACTTGCTAATATCGTCGAAATAGAGTCCTGAGGGGCATCTATTCAAATAGGGATACCCGTCGACACACTGAAAGGATAATTAAATTAATAATTAGACATGTTTAGGTCGTATCCAGTATATCGAATGGGTTACTTATAAATATTGATTCCAGAAACAGAACCAATATCTGATCCCAATAGAAATTAATTAAATACTACATCAATTCTTATTTATATTGTGTGATCTATATTAGGTACTTATATAAAGTTACGTATTTATTTATAAGCGTGATCTTGTACGAAATTATTTGCTATCTCATCCATTATATCATCAGTATCCGTTATAAAGTTGTAATATATCATCATATTACTACTGTCTAAAGTACTAAGTTTCCAACCAGTCGTCCAACAAACACGTCTAAACAGAGCAATGGGTCCCGAATTGTCACGCGTCGTGATGCCGAATGTCGTTCGGAATATACCAAGGGCCATTTACAGAATTATCACAGCAGACGAAGAACAGTATATTCTGTGATACCCTTGATGTTTTACTGTATATGTCTGTGTATGTATAGTGGTTGGTAAGTATTTTTCGCCAAATATTTTTTTGCCAGACCCAATATTTAAAGTACTGAATTATAATTATTAGAAAATCTTAGAATTAACAAGTAGGACGTACCTACGTAGAACTTGAAGAAATTAATACCTAAACAGTGGAATAATTTTTTTGGAAGAAACAGATTCATTGTTTTAATAAAATATAGAGGGCCTAAGCTTAATTTTGTATTTATTTGTTGTATTTAAAAACATTTACTTTGATTAAAAAAATCTCCAGTTTAAAAAACGGCCAAGGATAGTACCTATTAATGATCAAAATTTGTGTAAATTAGTACGTATTGCGTCGACTTGTAATATATATATATATATATATATATATATATATATATATATATATATATATATATATATATATATATATATATATATATATATATATATAGAGGGAGAGTTTGTACAAAAGTCGATTGCTTGGGTACCTCTGTTCCATTCATGTTTCAACCGTGAAGCAGCTGTGTTTGCATGGCTGTGTTTCGGTTTGAAGGGTGGGATATGGCGTAAATTTACTGGGTACAGAGGAATAACACCTGAGTCCTCAGGAATGGCAACGCATGGGGGTATCACGGGCGAAACAGTATACTCTGTTATGTCCACGGTACTGCTCATGTCTATAGGCGACGGTTACCACTTTCCACCAGGTGGACCGTCAGTTTGTTTGCCATTCTAAGTAGCATAAAAAATAAAATATATATATATATATATATATATATATATATATATATATATATATATATATATATATATATAACCTTAACTCTAATACTCCTACATATTTAATAATTTATTCTAAAGCCACTATAATTCCATTATGTACACTAGAACTTGTTAACTTGTTGTTAAACAATCTATATACAATATTAATTGATAACAACATTATCATTGTCAAATAATTAAATGATATATATGTAAAAATGAGTGGATATTCGAGTTAACAATAAATATTTTAACTCATCAATTTACATTATTGGTTAAAACAATTTCAAATTAAACAAGAATTTTGGAATGCTCTGACATCAACCATAATTTGTAGTTTAAACACGTTTGTATGAGTAAAACCTTGATAATGCTGATACCTACTTACGAGTATATTAAGTGTCCAAAAGAAACATGAAACAAGTCACATTTTTTACTCAACTTGAAATGGAAAATAATCTATCAATCCGCCTGTTAGCAAGTTGTAAGCCTCTTTAGGAATGCATAGCACCATGCACACTACAAAATATACTGTGACACCAATAATAGATGTTCTTTTTACGTTGCTAATTGCTATTTTTGGGGGGAAGGAATTGTTAATAATGCAGACTACCAGTCTCATTGCTAGCAATATACTCTGTCAGGTCAACCTCCATGATCTTTCCCCGTAAACCTTCGTGCTGAATTCCAGGTATATTCATCAAAATGGGCTAACAGACCTGCCTTTTCATTTTCACCTATCATCCCGCACTGGTACCCCGCCAGCGTATACCGTTAATACAGGCGGAGTTACCATTCCATTATTACCTATTAAAAAAATTACTATTCTTAAGGATTAAGATGTTACACCTTCGTACCCTATAATTTCACTGTCGTATCTCAGTCTTCAAATCAAATATATATAATCACCCATTCAAATAACATCAATATAAATACTGAGTTTCGTTTTTATCCTTAATGTACCGGTTACACTAGTTATTAAACGACCCAACAGGTATTGTAAAAAATGGGGAAATATAATCTATGATACCTACATATACTAAAAATAACAGCCAATGCGTAAACCACTCACTATTTTATCAAGCCAAAGAGCAATCTCATGTAATGTTGTAACCATTCCTCATTTATAGACATATACAATGGATAATATTGACGTGTGGTCCCAGCAAAGAAGGGGCCACCCCTTCCTTTCCCGTGAGTGTCGAAAGAGGCGACTAAGGAAACTTAATGGGATGGACAACAGCGCCCCTCTTAAAACATCACAATAGGTTAACTGTGGTTGCCAACCCGTCTGCCAAGCGTAACAACTACGTGCAAAACCCTGTCTTATGGAGGAGGCCTATGTTCAGCGGTAAACTGTTTATAACTAATATCATGTCATCAAACAATGGCTTATATACTGTACTATCCATTTATTGCACAAAAGTTGTGTTGTAAATCAGTTTCTTGTTGTTTACTTTATTTACTTATTACTTTATTCACTTCTTTATTTGTATGCATATTATTACTTAACATAATTAAAATAATATACTGTTTACTTGATAAAATCGCCGACAAGTCGCCGGATCCGCAAAATTTCCATTGCCCTGTGTTCCTTCTGGACAAACAAACTCCTCAGCTTCTTTATCCTTTTGGCAATTTACTGAAAATAAATTAAAATCACTTCTTATGTGAGCAATCAAGAACCATTTACAATGTTAAATAACAATCTATTACATACTTCCTATGTTTACGTAAACAGATGAATAGCAATATGATATTTATTATATGTTGCTCGTATTATTTTATGCGCTTATAAAATACAGGTTTTTATCACAATCTAAAAATATATCAATTTGAATGCTTTTCGTGTTTCGATTCAAACGAAAAATACTTAGGACTCTCATGTCATTGGCCCATACTTGAGGATATTACGTGTCCAGTATTTTAATTACAGCTAATTTATTTTCTAATCCATTTACGTAGTAAATATTATGTGTGTACCCATCAAAAACATTAGTACAATGATGATAATGAATTGCTTAGCATAACACAAGTACCTAACTATTATATACCTATCTATTATTGTTATCGATTGAAAGAGAAAGTCAGTTATGTAAAATGATTTTATAGTAATCCCGGCTACAATTATATGATTAAATAAATATCATTCGTTACGCTGTGTTAGTTATGCATAAGTCACGATTATTTTTCCTAAGTTATTACTACCAAAGAAAGACTGTACAAGTAATCCGATTTAATTGGGGTTATCATTTCTAAATAAATATTTTTCATTTAATTATATTTTTTAAAGCACAAATTCTAAATTTTAAAATAATATATAAAATGCGGCATTAAAATTGTATAAAAATTAAACTTGATTCTGTTTTAGATTAACATAAAAAACTATTATAAACATCAGGTTACGATTTTGTTTAATTTAATTCATACATTTTTAAAAAAAAATCATTTGCATAGTTTGATACTCGTATGATTAAAAGTAACATGTACTATATATATATATATATATTTCCTCATTAAATTTATCTTTATTAATCTCTTACATTGAAACTTTTACTTTACACTTCAGCGTTGCACGTTTATCACAGACGCACGAACGATTTCAAATTTAACACTCTAATGTAAAAAGGAAAAAAACTTGTAAATTAACCAAAATGTTTGTTGCGCGGGCAAAAATCTATACTGATAGGTATCTATTCTTATTCCAAGTGGTCTCATCTATTTAAATAGAGATGTAGTGAAACGTTAGAAATAACAAAAAGTTTTCTTTTCGCCCTATTACATTAGCCATTTTGACTACAGACTTATTTACATAACTAGTAGCTACCTAGCAACTAACTAGCAGTAATAAGCTCCAGACAAATAACACTAATTAGAAACCAGACAATGAACATCTGAGAGAGTAGAATCGAACCCGCGACATCATTTATGCGACGCAACATGCCCAAATAAAATGACCTCCGTAGGGCTATAGTCTAAGAATTTTAATTTCATTTTTTATTTTAATTTCTTTATAATTTAGTAAAACTCGTGTAAATGTTGTAAATTTAAATGAGTATAGAATTGGATCTGGTATAGACACCATTGATTAAACAAGCACTGGTTGACGGGTTTTCTCTGACTCGTCTGCATACTAGTTATTGTCATGGCACTATTTACGCAAAGCATCTACTTATTGCTATATCTATACGAAATTCATTATGTAGTCCTAAAATTTTATTTATTTTAAATTTGTTATGCAATGATGGATTATAGATAATCTATGTACAGATTATTCTGATATAAAGTAGGCTAAACAATCAAGGATTACCAAAATTGCACTACTCACCTGAGTCAATTTCACCATCTCAACACTTACTAATTCTCAAACATTAATTCGAAAAATAGCCAGTATAATTTCTAATAGAAGATGCATAACACCTCAGTTCTTGTGGCAAGTTATACCCATAACTGTCGTAACCGTGGTAACAAATTAAAAACCATTCCTACCATCACAAATTATAATTACGAGTATTATACTTCTGCCTACGGCGTTCATTGCCACTTCCGAGATCTATAAATTGTTATGCAGAACACATAAATTTTTATCGGAAATTACACGTTTCCATTTTTTCTTTTCTCACACCTTACCCTCTAGTCTTACTACGATTTTTGAGCAGTATCCCCTCCACGACTGCAGTGTCCCCTTTTCCCCTTCCTTCCTTCATTCCTTTTCTACCAACTTCCTTTACTGGCTCTCAAAACCTCTCCTTTTTCTCGATACCTTTCTCCATACTATAGGTGATGGATACCACCAACAAATGTATTCTCAAGGAGGATTGGTGTCAGGTCCGACAATCGGTCGTAAACCTTGAGTAATATTGATAATAACATATTACGCTGAACCCAAAATTTATATAATTAGTATAATAATGATAAGAAGGTGAGGATAATTCTGTAGTCTAAATAGAAATACAAGGCGGACATATATTTACAGCGGAAATGTGATTAGATGAATAAGACGGGTAAGGACAATAATAGTAAATATTTTTTGCAATTTTCCTACACGAGCTTATTTTAACAAACATCTATAACTGTTACCACTAGCATTTACTTATTTAAATAATAATAGTTAATATAAATATTGATAACCGCCATGGCGTAGTAGTAAGTATATTATTGTACATAAATAAGATTCTGGTAATGATATTCAGTCTACATAATGGGTAATGAACATGGGTACTCTAGTACCCCCACACGTTTATTGCCTAGTTTTTCATAACGCAGAAGATCCTAACTTCATTACTAGACCATTGGCGTAATAATATTGTACTCATACGAGTATTTTGTTCATTCTTTTTTTTACCAGATCCAAATGAGTGCAATGTAATTTAAATCTCTGTAATTCTACAAAACAGTTGACAAAAACGTATTTAGCCTATTATACATAATTTTACCAAAACTAAATCAAACTTTACACCCCACGATTTAAACTTCCACAGCTAAACAAGTCAACGAGTAGGTACCTATGTAGTCTATTTTACATATCAAATCAATCTTTACGCTACTATTAAAATTTATTTTTTTTCGACTCTACCTAACACAAGCTTTGCTTATTTTGCTTTTTTTCTGTAAATACTTATGATCACGATTTTATATTTAAATTTGTTAAAATTTTATGTAGGGTGAAGTTAATTAAATAACATTAAAAACTTAGTATTTAAATATTTAACGATGAAATTCCAATAACCATCATTTTAATTAAATTACATTTTGGCTAACCAATTACAAATCGTTTTAATTATGTGGCAATAATTCCAACCTAGAATATTCCAACAGTAATATATCATTAAATCTTGATATCTATGTTACAAATACTCATAAAATTATTATGATAACTCTTTAGTTAAAACATAAAAAGCTTCCATAAATATTACAAGTTTCAAATTTCTGCACAAATGTATTAGTATTTTTTTTTTCAACTATATCTAATGCAATATTCAAATAACTAATAGTCTTTACCAGTTATAGGTACTCTAGAGGCTATTTATAATTTGTGGCATTTTTTCCACGTACCTACTGTATAGAACTCGTTTACACGAACGACCCTGCGACAGGTGACAGAATGGCAAGCATATTGCAACTGCTTGAAGTGCAAGTTCTCATTACTTTAGAAGAGTTTATATTGTCTTAGTAACAACTAAAAACTCATAATATTAATCATTATATAGTTTTGCGAGGCCACGCACAGTATCGCATAACTTTTTCACCGCCAAGATATTAATAAATTACCCAGGTAAGTAAGATAAGTGTCAACATCCTCGATTACAACCGGTCACACGCCTTCAATGTCAAATAAAAGAAAGGACGTGCTCAGCGAATCTTAATTAGACACCTACTTTTATATTTACCTGAGAGAATTGTCACACGTAGGTACTTTCTACACAATAAACAACGTGCTTTGAGTAAAAGCTGCCTAAGTAATGTGGAAAATTGTAACAATACTGACGTCCGGTTTCACATATCGTTGTATTCTATTTATCCTATGACGAATATCGTTTGCAGATAGCTTTCACTATATCATTTAGTTGTAACAGTTACGTTAACATGTTAACGGGTTGTTCGGCGAATCGCTTGCATAATATTACGCTTGATCACACATACGATAGATACCTAATCAGAAACGATGGGACACACGTGAGCAAATTACGGACATATAATTAAAAATTAACTAACCGTTTCCGAGAATGGCACAAATAAGTAAGATTGGCGCAAATGGTAGAGCGGCCATAGCGCTTCGCACACCGTTTGATCGAAATACCGACATGGAGCCTTTCACTGCCGCACGCGCACTGCGGCAAACTTGCGCCGGTGCACCGCACTAAGCATCGTTTGCCATCGCCTGCCGACCTCGCAGACGGCTTTCTCCTCAAACCCTCTGACAGTCCAAAATTACCTTGTATGGATCATTATAATATTAATTAAATAGCCATTGTCAAATTGGTAGGAATACGGAAATGGCTAAAGCCCTATAAACTCAACTAAATGAAATAAAAAATTGTAATAAATAACTCTTAATTAAACATTATTTAAAGATCTAAATCTTACATTTAATGCACCAAATAAAATTGGTCAATTAAATTTGATAATAGTTTAAACAATTTGTTTGTGAAGGTTTTATGTTTGAAGCGTGCAAAGTTACTCTGGGTATTTCATTTAAACTCTTAGTTATTATATAAAAATGTAATAAAAGTCAGATTTAATATTAAAATACCAAAATACAGAAATGCATGTAGTATAAAGGTGTACGATATCTCTATATACAGATCAAACTTGAATCGAAATAAATATGTAGATGGTATTTGTAAAATCCTGGACTGATTATCTACTGCTGGATATTCAATTATTAAGTAGGTATAAGAAATTTAGAACCCCTCATACTAATAAAAGATAATTACGCCATAATATAAAATAAAATAGAAAGTACAGAATTTTTCATCGTTCTGTTACAATTTTTTTTATTGCTCAGTGTTACACTCTTTAAACGGTGCTAATGATTTCAGTTTCACCGTGTACCAACTTAGAAATATCTACATGTTCAAAGTTTATTAGAAAATAATAATTTTGTAAACATTTATATTAAGTCATGCCAAAAGCTTTCAAATCTATTCAGGATTTACAAAAACTTTGACAAACTTTCATATGTAATTGCAATATTCACCGATGTTCTAGATATATGGATGATTCTGCAAGAATTACAACGAGGAATGCTTGGCAGATTATTAAACTGCATATCTAGGATGAATTTGGATAAATAATAGAAACATAATATACTCGTATTTTTACCAACAGAAAACGTTCTTTACTTTTTATCTCGTAAGACTCTGTATTAAAATAATTTGTATTACATTTTAGCGGTCCATGCCAAAAACTAAAAAGAAGGCTCTTTCCTGCCATCGTGAGAACAGTGCGGACTATTCGTTCGTCTGTATAACATATATCTATTTCAGCTCCACTAATACTACCTATCAAATTTAGTGCCGTTTTCTAAAAGTAAAGTCGAATATTTCATATGGGTAATGAAAAGTTACAAAAATAATTTTGTGATTAATCTAATTATCACATATTTACTGAATTAATTTAATTTTTTTGTACATTGCTTTCCTATGGTCTAATATTTAACAATCTAGTCTATAAGATTTAACTAACAAATAGCATGTTATATAGGCTCCTACAGGTTTATTTCAATGTCCAATTTCGTCGTAGATACTTAATGGTTTATGATTTATTAAATGCATATAACCTTCTACTAGTGTCCATAATGAATGGGACAAAAATACCTAGTATACACGATGAAGATTTTATCACCATCTCCAATGCCATTGTTGAAACTCTCAATGTTGTTATTACTACTTAAGGTAGTTATCTATACCTGACAATAGTGTGAGCAAGACAATGGTGTAAATACTTGAAAAATAATTTTATTAGTTACTCCTTGATTAGACACCTTTAATCACCTTTCTAATTAAATAGTCTTCTGCAGCTTATACTACAGGGAAAGATCCAAAATTGCCGAAGATCGGGAAAACGCCGAATCTCCTGATTAAAAAATCTAAGGCAATGGTTCGGAATGAGCACCAGATCTCTTTTCAGAATGACGGTGGATAAGGTAAAGATCGCCATGGTTATCGCCAACCTCTGAATATTCGTTTTAAATCTTCTTCAAAAATGAGCTAACAAAAGAAAAAAGAATTTGTGAAATCTAACTGATAATTTCGGAGATTATTGCTTACAAACAAACAACCTTTTCCGCTTTATCTTCTATATTATAAAATTGAATCGCTGAATGTGTTGCTAAGTGCAAATCTCGAAAACAGCTGAACCGATTTCGCTAATTCTTTTTTAGAATATTCCTTGATGTACGAGGATGGTTCTTACGGAGAAAAAAAAGTAAAAAAAATGCCTGAAAAAGTTTAAAACCAACACTTTTCTGTACTCCCATACAAACGATTAAAAACAATACTTAAAAGTCAATTTAAACTTTAATACCATACCATAGAGTTCAAGTTAGTGGAGAAGTTCCGGGAAGGCAAAACAATTGAGTGTCGTGGCACAGCGTGTTTTATAATTTTTATTTTTAGTCATAATGTAATTGTTGACTTATTAACTTTTCTTTTTCTTTTTTATCTTACTAGCTGACCTGGTGTTCCGAATAGAAGAATAAGTATTAAAAAAATTAAAGAATCGACTGTTAGGCGGTACGAAGTTCGCAGGGTCAGCTAGTTAAGTATAAATAAATTTTATAAACTGTCATTGTAATTACAAACTAAACATATCCCTTTAAGTTGACTTCCACGCGGATCCCTTTGAAAACATCGTGGTTGATTACTAATCCCAGTATATTCGCTTAAAATGAGCCATGTGTTCTCATTTCATCCTCCACTGTCCCGTCATTATATACAGTAGGTACATCATAGGCAAATGTGTTTCCCCATTTTCATCCATGAAAAAGAAGACATCAGCATAATAACATATATGGAACAAGTAAACTTGTATAAATCTACCTAATTATGTTTTTCATCTCAGTTCTCTCAATAAATACTAAACATTTCACAAATTAAGCTCTAATAAGAAATGTGACTATTGTTGCTATAGGAGTAACGAAATAAATAGGATTATTACTCTGCTTTTAAAAAGATTTTCGATTATCTATTGGCTCGTGTTCTATTTACTATCACCAAGTGTTTTATAATACGAGTAGGTATTAACGACAATTATTCATAGACATTTAAGTTAAAATCTAAGTTGTTAGCCATACATACAATATAAATATAGCTCATACTGTAGTAAAACTAGGAATTTATTAGTTTTAATATTTATAACAATACTAGCTGATCCAGTTAATGTTATTTTACCATCTACTGATAACCTGCTGGATTTATTTTTTTCTTATCGAGATTAAAACTATCATACTTCTCAGGTTGAAAAAAATATGTGTACCGAATTAAGAGCAGTGGACTTTAACAATTATTTAAAATCTATGAAAGATATCAAAATATTATAGGTACATTTATTTCCTTTAACTACAGAGCAAGTAACCACTACGTCCTTCGACCATATATATATAAATATTTTAAAAGGATAGGACATTAAATAATTTTCAAAAATTTCTCTAGATAAAAACTTAATGATTTATATGTATATATAAGATTATTATTTAAATATGTAAATAAAAAATTACTCGAACGATTTTAATAATTGTTTGACCGTTAGAAAGCTACGCCGAGTAACATAGGCTATATTTCTTAAAAAAGGAGACCCCTACCTAAGTTAGAACAATGTAATCCAATGCATCAAAATGTTACATATATAAGTCATTAATTTGCGTGCGCTGCAGAAACTATTGAGGATATATAAAATAGTGTTCTATATATTAATAATACTCATGATTAATCACAATAAGGTCCGCGATGGCATATGCCTAACTTTTATAGTTAAGCCACAGTAACAGTTTCTATTTAAATTATTAAATTCAAGTACAGTCGGAAACGAATAGTAGTGATATTGGTATTATAATATTAATCTTTATCCATTTAAATGGTTTGATAATTAAGAATGATTATGTACGTGTAAATTCCACTTTAAAGTATTCAGATCGGATTTTCGTTTAAAAGTTACAATGGGTATAAAAATTCTCTAAGTAGGAAAAATGTCTTGGTTTGAATGTACTGTCCTACTTTTGGTGTATTATTATTATTTTATCCATTAATCCACTGCTAAACATAAGCCTTCCTCATAAAGGGAATTTTACCAGTAGTTGCCACGCTTGGCCGGCGGGTTGGCAACCGCAGTTAAGTTTTTACAGATATTTTAAGAGAGACGCTGCTGCCCATCCCTCCACCATAAGCTCCCTTAGTCTCCTCTAATGACACCCACGAGAAAGGAAAGAGTAGCCCCTTTCTAGTCTATTAATAATTTAATCTATTAATACAATACTAATTTAGATTAGATTAGATTTAGATTAAATAATAGTTTTTAAATTTGAAACTTTAATTATTAAGTATATTTTTTTATTTAAAAAATGCTTTATTGAGTAAAAAATATAAATGCTTTTTACGGAATTACACCCGTGCAAAATCGGGGCGGATTGCTAGTTTGATATAAAAGGACTAAGATGACAATGATGACGATGATATAAAATTTTATTTATTTATTCTTTATTGACCACATTACAAAAAAAAACTGGTATAAAACGCGGACTTAATACTATATAGCATTCCGTCCCAGTCAACCTTTGGCAAAACAGAAATGTTATTATGCGTTAAAAAAAATTAAAAATTGTTATAGATAAAGAATTACACGTACGTATACATATTGTCATGCAAATCATAACACATACAATGGAAAACTACTGCACATTATGATTATATTATATAAATATACATACATGAATACATTAAACAAATATTATTTACATCTACAAATATATATCATAAAAACATATATACAAATATAAATATACATACATACTTATAGATTATATACTATAATACCAATAAACAACGATAGAGATCAAAGGTGATGATGATAAAGATGATGAACTGCTTTCACAACTTCTTCAAAAGTTATTCGTAGACTAATAATACTAATAAGTCGTAAAATGACATTCATGTATTTATTATATGAAATAAATGCTTAATAATAACTATTATTGTTCTTTTTTTATTGGGCGAAGCCAGAGGCTATTTTATTTCGTCATTCATAACGATGCTACGCCCAAGACGTGAAGCTGAAACCCAGTTGTCCAATTTTTCAAAAAGGGTAACAATACCCTATTGAAAAACTATCGGCAACGGTTACCACTTTTCATTAAGTGTGCCGTCCTGACCAATCGTCTTACGCGCAAACTCGACGACTTCCAGCCATTCGAAATATCTGACTTCCGAAACGGTTTTAGCACCATAAACCACATACATACGATACGGCAGATTATACAGAAGACCGAAGACTGTAATCTGCCACTATGTCTGGCAATTGTGGACTATGAGAAAGCCTTTGATTCGATCGAGACGAACGGTACTACAGTCTCTCCAGCGGTGCCAGATTGACTATAGGTACATCGAAGTGTTGAAGTGTATGTACAGTAAGGCTACGATGTCTATCCAAGTACAGAACCAGAGTACGAAAGCCATCCCAACGCAGAAAGGTGTAAGGGTGACGTCATATCGCCGAAACTCTTCACAGCTGCATTGGAAGATGTTTTAGTTGGTTGGACTGGAAAAAAATGGTATAAACCTCAATAGTGAATACATCACTGTCCTTCGATTTGCCGATGAAAAAGTAATCATAGCGGAATACGTTATATGGCCTCAATGGTGCTTCTCAACAGGTAGGTCTTAAGATGAACATGGATAAGACTAAAATCATGTCTAACATAAATGTCATACCAATGCAGGTTACAATTGAGAACATTACGCTCGAAAATAGCGACGAGTATGTACACTTGGCACAAGTTGTCCGAAGTCTAACTTCGACCGAGAGGTCAACCGAAGAATCTAATTCAGCTGGGTAGCATTCAGAAAACTACGCCACATTTTTCTATCCAAAATACCTCAAAGTTTGAATATGGAAGTCTTTAACCAGTGCTTAATCAAAACATTGATTAAATCAAAATGTCATAATTTAGTCAGCCAAATGTCAATTATACTGTCTCTATTTTGCACTCAATTCTCTATCTATATATGTTAATACTTATTATGGGAATATTACTTAATCCAATATAACATTAAAAAAATTAAAAATATATATAATTAAAGATAAAAAATTTCTTTGAGATCACTGCCAGCTGGTAGGGTGCCTAGGATACTTGCTGCATTTCCACGCTGAATAGCAATGGAAATGCGTTGACCAAAGTACTTATTTATTCTAAATCTACGACTTTGGTTCTAATTTTCGAACGAAAATCAACGGCGACGTGTCGCTGTCAAATAAATGTCAGATCTTAATGACGTTTTACGTGCCTGCAGCTTTCAAATCGATTCATATTTGTAAAATTGAACAATTTAATTTATATTTAAGAATTATTACCAATTTGATGGCATATTATTTATTAATATACAATGACAACTTTACGTGAACGTCAACTCAGTGAGTAAATTATTAATGAAATTATGTTAAAATAATTGTTTTGTTACACTTAATTAACGCTTTCAATACATAATTTACATGTTTATTTTTTAATTTATAGATGCTCTGAAGCAAATGCTAAATTTGAACCAGCCACTGACAAAAAATGTGGCCACAGAACCAGTGTGGAAAGTGTTAATTTACGACAGAATAGGTCAAGACATAATATCTCCACTTATATCAGTAAAAGATCTTCGAGAACTAGGCGTCACCCTTCACGTGTAAGTAATTCATATAAAATATTAAGCACATTAATGTCATAAAAAATAATATGATACCAAAAACAAAAAATATATTTAAAGCTGTTAAGGTCTTTGTTTATCTTTCATTGATGTATACAGTTTGGAAATATAAACTGTTAATTTTTTTTCTTAATAACTTGGTTAAATATTAAAATAGATATCTGGGGTTAATGTAATAATGTTTATATCATGATAATATGAATATATTATTATTTAAATGTTTAATAATTTTGAGATATCCACATTAAATAATAAAAATTACTGTCACTACATTTTACTTTCCATGATATATTTCAGACAACTCCATTCAGACCGTGACCCAATTCCAGAAGTCCCAGCAGTTTACTTCTGTGCACCTTCTGAAGAAAATCTTGGTCGTATTTGCCAAGATTTAGATAATGGAACATATGACCAGTATCATTTGAACTTTATATCGCCTATCTCAAGACAGAAATTAGAGGATTTAGCAGCATCAGCTATTCAGTCTAACTCTGCAGTAAATATACATAAAGTATATGACCAATATTTGAATTTTATATGTTTGGAAGATGATCTATTCATTATGAAACACCAGCAGTCAGATTCTTTATCTTATTATGGTAAGTAGTAATTTCTTTATGGCATTAGCTGTATTGTCCTAGCATAGAATAGACCACCGCTTTCTTTCCCAAGAGTATTGTAAGAGTCAACTAAGGTAGGGTAAGGGGTAGGCAGCAGCATCCCTCTTAAAACATTTCTAAAGCCTAACTGTGGTTGTCAATCTATCTGCCAAGTGTGGTAAGTATTGCAAAACCCCTCAAGGAGGAAGCTTATATTCAGCAGTGGACAGTTAAAGGCTGATATGATGATGTTATTTTTTTTTCTGCTCAAATTTTATTAAAATACCAGGATCAAGATAATAAAATAGATCTGGATGTTTTATTTTCTGTTATCTATCTATTCTTGTGTATACATTTACATAAAAACTAAATATCAGTTGTCTAGAACCTATACCACAAGCTCTGCTAAATTTGGGATGAGATTGAGACACTTTGTTGTTGAGCTACTTATATATAAATTTTGCAGTTTTGGATGGATGTCAATTTTTTTAATATAATTTTTTGTTTCTTTAGCAATTAACAAGGGAGATACAAAAGATACTGAAATGGAATCTATCATGGATAATATAGTTGAAAGTCTATTTTCAGTCTTTGTGACACTAGGTGAGTTATTATTTCAATAAAGCATTTATTTATTATTATTTGAGAAATTAATATAATTAGAACAATTTATAGTAGTATATATTTATTACTCTTGAAAAAATTACATAATTTTCTGTTAATAATATTAAAATTAAATTATTTAAGAAACTAGTACTATTTATATCAGTATAATTATCTTTAAAAGAATGTCTTTCATAATACTAAACAAAAAAATGTTTGATCTTATTTAAATTTGAAAGAAATGAAACACCTTATTTATACAATGCTAAACAAGCTGACAGCCTACCTGTTGGAAAGTAGTAACCATCTGCTTTAGACATGAACAGGAAAGAGTATACTGTATAAAATGCCCTTCATGTGTTGCTGTTACTGTGAACTAAGGTATTATGCCTCTGTACCCTGTAATTTCAATGCATATCCCATCCTTCAAACTGAAACACAGCCATACAAATGCAACTGCTTTACAGCAGAAACATAAATATGACAGAGATACCCAAACAAACAACTTTTGTAAAAAAAACTATTTATTTTCAATGTAAATAAAATTTGATTTGATTTAGGTAATGTTCCTATAATAAGAAGCAATAAAGGAAATGCTGCAGAAATGGTTGCAAAGAAATTAGATAAAAAATTACGAGAAAATTTATGGGATGCCAGAAACAATCTTTTTCATGGCAACACAGGCCAAGCTGGATCTTTTAGTTTCACCAGGCCAATGCTCATATTGTTAGACAGAAACATTGATATGGCAACACCATTACATCATACTTGGACATATCAGGCACTTGCTCATGATGTTCTGGATTTATCATTAAATAGGTTAGTATATAATAGTGATGTACCATTTTTATACAGTTATTTTTTTAGAATTCATTTTGTAATAATCCTAAGAAATCATAGTCTTACCAAGACAATAAATAAAATTTAATTAACTTACTTTTTTAGAGCAGTAGTGCCGGAAAATACAGCTACAGCAGTTCCAGGTCAAAAAACTAAAACCAGATTGTGTGACTTGGACTCTAAAGACCCTCTATGGCAAGAACACAAAGGTAGTCCCTTTCCTACCGTTGCTGAAGCTATACAGGAAGATTTAGACAAATATAGGCAAGTAAATCCAAATTTAAGTCAATTTCCAACTCATTCACAAAAATAATAATTTAAAAAAGGTAAGTTTAAGGATAAAACTACAGAATATAAATACTAAATAAAAAACTGTGTACCATTAACACTAAATTCATAATATGACTTCAAGATTTAAATAAAAAAATTTAATGCAGTGAAGGATCATAGGTAAGGATGAAGCAGGTCAGTTAGCCCATCATGACGAATTCAACAAGAATTGTTCTCGATGGTTTCCAAGGGGAACCACATGGAGGTCAACCTAATAGGGCATACTGCTAGAAATGGGACTGTCAAACTCCATTGCTAACAATCCTTTTCCCCCCTCATGAATACTGTTACAGAGTTTCAGCTCTCTTCATCTTTGCTTTCACACTGTTACATCATTAAGAATTTAGCATTATTATATTAGCTATACTTTTAAAAGTTTTACTTTAATTACTTTATATATTTGAATGTTACACATAATTTTAGGAGTTCAGAGGCAGAGGTAAAGAAATTAAAAAGTTCAATGGGTTTGGACGCCGACAGTGACTTGGCACTTAGTTTGGTCAGCGACAACACACAAAGGCTGACGAGCGCAGTGAATTCTCTGCCACAACTTATGGAGAAAAAACGACTTATTGACATGCACACTACTATTGCTACAGGTAATTATTTGCTTATCGCTGTGTATAATAACACAGAATCGTTCATTAAAACTTACCAGGGTTGTCAAAAAAATCTTAAATTTAAAATAAAAAATGTATACATTAATTTTACCTTTTCAATAATTGATTACACTAATTAAATGTGCAAACTGGTTAATTCAGGACATGGTTTTATTAAAGATTGTCTTGTGTCAAAGATTGCAAATGAGATCATGTTATTATTATTATTTTGAATTTATTTTTCCTGTATCACACTGCATTGGATGTTTTACACTTTAATAATATACATAACTAAATATGTATATATATTATATAACAATAGTATCTGCAATATATTTCAGCTATCCTAAATGCTATAAAATCCAGACGATTGGATTCCTTTTTCGAATTGGAAGAAAAAATTATGAGTAAAAGCAGCAGTGTAGAAAGCAAAGCTGTGATGGACCTTATAGCAGACCCGAGTGCCGGTACCCCTGAAGATAAAATGCGATTATTCATTATTTACTACTTGTGCACATCTCAAATTCCTGACGAAGAATATAAAAAGTTCGAAGCTGCATTGTCGACTGCGAATTGCGATATAAAAGCCATGACATTTATGCGTCGTCTAAAGTAAGTTATACTAAAATATCTTTTAGCCTTTTTAATGTAATAAAATTATAACTGGATAGTGTCTAAGAGGGAGATATTTAAAAAAAAATATAAGGGGTATTACTAATACTTATAAGACCAATAATTACTAAAACAATCATTTTTAGAAATGTCATCTCTGTCTTTATGTTTATTCCGACAGCACGCAAAAACTACTACACAAATGGGCAAAAACTAGTAGTTCATAAAATTGTAAGAAATGAAAAATAAATAAAGCAAAATATTTTACTACAGATTAAATTATCATTTAGAACTGATGTTATTTTTTTATTCCCTTGTGATAAATGGTTGAATAGATTATAATAGAATTGTATAACTAAGCTCAACTTAAAAACTAGTGTATTTCATGGGAATTGATCTAGCAAATTTCGTAATACAGCCTGACCATACATTTATTACATTCTAGATGACTTCATACTACGTAATAATTAATTTCAACTACTACAGAACGAAATTATGGGCTCAATCATATGGATTTTTTCTACTAATGCCATCTTTCATGCTAATAGAATTTGATCGATTGTGTTTATAGACAAACAGTATGTTCCTAGTTTTTCACTAAATATTTATATTGCCTTAGATTTTTAATAGTAGGTACTTCCAAAATTAAATTCTGCTAATAGATTTATCCATGTAATTTCAACATTATTTGATTCACAGAGGCTTCACTAAAATGTCAAGTCAATATGAAGGTGGCGGAACGAAAACAGTGTCCATGTTCTCAAAACTAGTTTCTCAAGGATCTTCATTTGTGATGGAAGGAGTCAAGAATTTAGTTGTCAAGAAACATGTAAGTTTCACTAATCATTCTCTTTCAAACACTATGAGCGAGCGATTATTTTTAAAAGACAATTTGGATAAGAACTTTCCAGTACTAAATATGTAATAAAAATGTAATATAACTCACAAATATATTATAAATATTTGCGACAAAACAAATCACACAATCTGGCACAGGTATACAGACGACAAAAACTAAATATGATATTTCACTTTATTCCCTTAGTTGCGTAAGAGACATCTCGTAGCTGAGAAAGAATAGTAACATAATTGTAACCTTATTCCGACACTAAATGAATGCAATAAATTATACCAAAAAATATATGAACATCCAGAAACTGCCAGTAAGCCGCGCTGTAGAGGCTGCTCTAAGCAGCGGTGACTCTGAGCTTGGGTGGTTGGACCCGCGCGCCGCCCGCACCGATGCCGCCGCACGAAGTCGCGCCGCGAAGCACCCGCCACCTACGGATGCCGTCGTCTTCGTAGTCGGCGGCGGAAACTACATTGAGTACCACAATCTTTTAGATTTCGCGAAGGTAAACTCTGTGACTATAACAGAAACATACCAGCTATATAATGCTTTAATATTGTATCCCCACACATCCTGGCATAATATGAATAATAAAAACGCAAAAGTATGCAATCATAACGTTTTTAATTATCTGCCGACGTTAACGTCAAATGATGAACTCTTGATATAAGCAGTATTCCATTATTCACTGCATATAATATCCGTACTTCCTCGTGAAAAGTCACGTCTAAAATAGTCATGACTCATGATTCCGCGAATTCTTTATCTTCCTGTTTATTAGGACAAACTACTTACACGTAAACAAAGAGAACCGAATACCAAAGACCTCTATCCTTACATACATCTCTTAATTCCTGCACTTTCATAACTCATACATACACGCCTGTTCCGGAAACGTACATAACAAACTATAGTGAAACTAACTAACGGCTAACTGACTGCTTCATCCTCACCTATCATCCTTCACTGGTGCCCCGCCGGTGTATACCGATAGCGCGGGTGGGGTGGCCATTATCACCCATTAAAAAAAAAAACAAACTATAGTTATTGTAAACGGTACATATCTCGAGTTACCACTATGACAAACTGAGTAAATCACAAATTACCATTATAACAATCTGCGTCAGTCTCCTTATTAATTTTCTTTTCAGTATGTCCAAATACGTTCATAACCTGAGCGTGAAATCCTCATTTTTTCATAATCGTACGTCGCGCACTGATGTGTACACAAATCCGCTCAGACGCGAATAATTAAATTTTACAATGTATAGTAAAATGCTAGTATTCAATTTGGCTCAATACTAATCTCAGTAATAAAATATCATCTCAGTTAAAAACATCAATATTTATATTTTTACTTTTTTTGCAGCAACAAGCCACAAACGGTGCGCCGAGAAAAATTATATATGGCGCCACAACACTGCCAAATGCATCACAGTTTCTAAAACAACTGTCCCTCTTGGGTGAAGAAATCCAATGAACATTCCAAACATAATGTGGTGTATATTAAAATATATATATAAACTGTTATAAATAAGCTAAATGTATAATTTTATATTTATGGTTTCTCTTATGTTGTGGATTACTGAACACATGAATGAAACAAATTAAATTTCAACAAGTTGGCATTTTATTTACAATGACATTGAAAATATAGCTAACATCTAATAATCTACTAATAAATTTTAATTGTTTTGAACAAGAAGTATAAAATCTAAATCACAAGATTAGTAATTCAACAGTAAACAGATCTTGATCACCAGTCACGCATTTTTCACAAAAGAATTTTGTCAAGTAAGAATGTCCAAATGCAAAAGTAACTTCACAAACACGTCCAAATGACTTTTTAGCAAACAAAAATTATTTTTGATATTAATTATTTGATAAAATTTAAAACTTGTCGAATTTATATACTCTTACACACTATTGTGCTTAATTAAAAAATAAAATGTGTATGCTATTTTAAACATAGACTTAATAACATTCGAAAAATAGCAAATATGTTTTATGTTATGCTTATGTATATTAAATATATGACATACATTACTGAAAGAAAATAAGTGTAGATTTAAGTTACAAGGAACTTGAACATCTTACTTAGCACTGTTATTTCATTGTTGTGGTAAATGTCATAATTTAAAAATATATCAATTATACAAACATTCATCACTGCTTGTAATATGAATTTGGCACAGTGAACAAACTGAACTAGACTGACCAACGAAAGAAGTAATTTTAATATTATTATAATTGGAATACCCTCCGTTTCCACCAATATATACATACATATCGCAAAAATATGTATATGACATATATTTTAATGGAAACAGTTTATCGTGACATTTACACAAAGGAAAAAAAACATTTTTTATACTTGTATATATAATACAAGTTTTATATTTGGTGGTAATGCATCTTCAACACAATTGTAAGTATGAAATGATTATTCATTATTTCTCCAAGTTCCTGCTTCACCATATATATTCATTAGCTTGAACATTTACGAGTATATGTATTTTAATAACTTCTCTCGTTAGGTCTTAGCGTCAACAAGAAAAGAGAGAGCAACTTTAATATTATTTAAAGTAATATTACGCTTAACAGGAAAAATACGGCAAGATCCACAATAACATGTCTATATAATATATTTAAAACTATTTTATACATTTTCGAAAGATATGTTTGTGCAAAAACCGAAATCGTTCCAACAAAATAATAAAGAGCAGAAAGAAACTTATATTTAAATTAGTGGCGCTATTACATTAATATTATAAAAAATTGTGCGTAATTTAACCGCTAATTTGCCATTTAATTTAGACTACAACTCAACCCTACTCTCTCGGAGCACTACTTATACAAAGGCATCGACAAAAAACCTCTACTGTATGTAGTTTACATACGATTAAAAAAAAAAGAAACATTAATTTATAATTAATTAAAAGAATGGCACTTAAGACTTAACGAAGCACAAATACAAGAATTTCTAAGTTATACAATATTAGAAACTAGTTGTCAATATAACAGAGTGATCTTATAACTAAAGTAACATTACAAGGACCACACAAAAACTATTAAGTTACACAGATTATTAAGGCGCATTTAGAAGATTATTTAGTGAATATTACTACACTTAAATTATTTAAAATTCAAGCAATGCACTGCTTTATAACAATCAAGCACTATTTAATACAAGTATGCAACTTGAAAGCCTTATTTTTACATTCATGTGTATATTTATATATTATTTTTTATATTTAAAGGAAATTTTATTTTTCATATTGTTGATATATGTGTAGTAGTCACAGTAATAAATAAATTTTTCAATCAATATTGGAATTGTAAATATAAATAAATAATTTAGGATTATCTAAAGAGATAAATTGTTTAAAATGATTAACCAGTAGCGCCATCAACGTTAATTTAATAATATATTTTAGGATTTATAATAAAACATTCAAGAACAAGAATAATAGTTAATTAAAAATTTACGTGCATTATTATAGTTAGTGGCAACAATAAATTATGGAACAGTTTGGGGTCATAGCAAACATCAAATAAGACAAAGGAAGACTTACTTGTATTAATATGTGCAACAGAGTTGCCATATTTATTTTGAATATTGTACATCAATCCCGTTTGAAGAAATATTAGGAATTTTAAATTCATTATAAACAAGCAAAAAATATTTATTTGTACTTAATAAGTACAAAATTAACTGAAGGCATTATTTTACAAAACACTAATTTCAATTCTTGGACGGCAGATACATTTTTTATTCCAACAAATATGTATCTTTTCCAAATCACATAGTACTGTTTAATATATTATTATGATATATGTCAACTAATTCAACGTGTGTGTATAATTAGTAATACCTTACTTATTGATACCCAATAAAACTATGAAGTTTAAAAATGATCATGAACAGTATACCATTGGAATGTTACGCTTATTAAATTATAAATATAGTTTAACATTAAATTGCTAAATGACAATGCATAAATCAAAACTAATAATGAGAAATAAATCACGCCTGTCAAACCTATTAATAGAATACAACCCTTATTTATACTCGATTATTATAACTATATACCTACGGACGTCAAAAATGTTGGTATGCTGCCAGAATTGGCACTGATGCCAGGGAGGTAGATAAGAAGGAGCACAAGCGTGTTTAAATGAAAAATCCACACAAGAGGCCATACCCATCAGAGTTGCGCTATAATGCAAATACGTACGCGCAACCTCGGCACTACAACTAGCTTTACAGCACTAACTAGCTTTTACAGGTAAATAGTACCTGCTTCTTTATTACCGATGTTCCGACGTGGATTGCACCACGTCATGATCACGACAGGGCTAAAGTGAACGGCGTCTTCGCCTGGCAACTCGCGCAGTCTCTTCGGGTACCCTCACTTTGTTACCGTTATTATCTAGAGCCACCCTACACACCGCACTCACGGTATCTACACTGCGTTTAAACAAATTATCGTGTGTTTTTTGTGTACTTATCACTGGATTCCATGCTGTTGAAAGTCTATATCTATCTTCCTTATTGATTTTTTTCGGATTTTTCCTAATTTCAATTGCTTCACGTATTATCCGAGGATAATAATGAGATACTATCGGTAGATAGAACCTTCGGGTCAGCAGCTCAATCCAGTGATTAGTAGAGCTGTTTAATAAATGTTCTGTCATTTAAGTCACTTGTGTTAAATTCAGATTGTGTATTTAAAAATATGTATAATCGACCATAACGAATTTGCCCATGAAAAAAAGAGAGGAAAGCAAGCGGATTTTTTCAATTCTGCCAACATAATTTTGACAATTCCGAGTGTACAGATATTATAATTGAAATATAAAAAAGGTACTTAAATTGACAATAACGGAATATTTTTTGTCGAAAATTAAATTATTTATGTCCAAAATATAAAAAAAAAAACAAAAGAAAATTACTAACAATACACACGATAAGAGCAAATAAGCAATTTGATTTTAGCAAAATAAAGCTCCAGAAAATCTCTATTAGAAAGAAAATTTTCTCAGATTAGAAATTTTCTGGAGTTTCCAATTTTTCCTATTACAATGCTTATTTTTATTAAACTAAACTAAAACACCAAAGTTAAAACCATATATTAAAAAAAAAAACAGACATTCCTGTACAAAATATACAGTATATTTTTTCAATATATTTATTTATAAATTATAATCTGGAAGTATATGAAAAATGTTCAATTTTGTCTTTTCATTATCACGAATATTATATTTTTACAAAATTTGTACGAAAAATAAAAGCACATTGGAATGTCTGACAACAAAAGCCATATTATTAGAGAACATAATTTGATTTATGAATTCTATTGTCCCCGATTGTACCGATTAATTTTCGGTTTTGTTTCGTAAATGTATGGTTAAAACCTACAGGTATTCATTAAAAAATGTGTGGTATAGAGCTGAGTGTGCTGTAATATGGCACAAGATATACAGAATTATAATTTTAAATTCTAGATGTCATAAAAGTATAGTTAAAGATGGCATAGAAATGTTAAAAATAAATGACTGATTACTCACATGAATATAATAATGAAATCTTGAAATAGAAATTACAAAAATTTTGTAAACAATACTGAAATTAGGAATGTTTAATAAAAATTAAAATTTGCTACAAAACTACGCCAATATTTTATAAAAGGAATGTCGATTTTTGATATGATTATATATTATTTTTCATTAATATGAAATATAGATTTTATAAAGAATAGCATTACTATCATATTTATTACATAGTAAAAATTGTTAAAATTGTAACTCTTAAAAAAGCCTGATGATATGAGATTCATCTATTCCTGAGAAGAGAGACTAGTTTTTTAACATATTAAAACTTTCACAACTGTCACAATATATCAGTCTTGCAGGTAGATAGTATCATCATAAAGTACCAAGTACCTCTTATCTTACCTTTGTGACTAATAAACCTGCAATTTATATTCACTTCTAGCATTTCTGGCATGTGGATACAATTTCATCAATCATTAGGCCAGTGTAATGAATGATAACGGAAAACTATAAGATGCGCTTTATATATTGTTAGTTTTAGTTGCAGATACTACAGATTATTATGATGAATCTAACAGTGCATTTATACAAATTATCTCTAATATTTCATCTATGTATAATTTGGTATTTTGTATATAACCAGATAGGAAGGATTTAGAATCATTAAACTTACACTAGGAATATAATTTTATATGCTTAGTCATCAATCAACATTAAAACAACTACCATGGTATGTGAAGGTTTAAATAGAATGCTATATATGTGATTAGATTATATAAATTATTTGACGACCAGAATCACATTAGATATTTGGTTAAAAGTTCAATCTACTGTAGTAATGAGTTAACATTTTAATGCATATTTATATTTGTTATTGATTATTATATTTTAAACATAACTAACCATGATTTTTTAATAATCATCACCTCATCAATTTATCTCTAATGAAATTTGTCAACAGATCTTAACATTAACATTATTATTATAATGATTATCACCATACCTAAGAATTAGTCAGTTATCTTTAAAAGAGAAGATTTCTTTAACCTAACTAAGTATATATTTCATAATTCAAAAGTGATTAGATATAAAGGTTTTAGTCAGTTCTATAACAAGACAGATGAAGAAAATATAACACAGTGTTAGATAAATCCTATTACAGATGATAGACAAAAATCAGTCTAGAACCATGGGTTCAAGTTACATGTTAATATGGAAACGAGTCATGTCACCTATGGTTAATAAAACCATATAAAAGTGTAAAGGAGCTTCACACAAGGATACTTAGATGGCGAAGTTATTTTAAGACTTACAGCAACACTAACACCAAGATATTCTGTTGAGTTCTGTTATTATATAAAAGACTGAGAAAAATAAATAAATACTAATAGATAATAAACTATATTATGCCCACATATATAAAATATATTAAAAAAATACATCTCATATATGGTGACCTTTAAGACATCACATGTAAATCTTATTAAACTTACTGATAATAATCTTTCATCTGTATTAGAAATGAAGAAAGATAATATATAAATATTTTACTGTAAATTCATTAATAAAAATAATATTTATCCAGATGTCAAGTATGAGATTCAAAATAGTGATAGAAAGGATATTTTTAAATAATATTTTGTCAGAAACGCATTCCTATATGTAATACATCTAGTATTATCATAGAATTCAATGATATTTTTAAAATTTATTTTATACTTAGAAGTTGAAATGATATTAAATGACTAGACATACTGTCTTATAACATTTCGTTGATTTTGAATTTACACATGCTTATTCAATGTATACTTATAGGCAATGTTTCTGAATAAATATATTAAGCATGAATTATATATAATATATGCAGCAATATATTCAGAGATGACACAAATCTCTGTCTGCTAGTGACTGTTTAACCAATGAATTTCAATTACTATGACACCAACTATCAATATAGTAGGTGTCACAAATATTGTGTCAATAACAAACTGGTGCAAACCAGTTTTGGTCATAATTTAAGTGTGAAATACAATAATATTAAGTACCTTATTAAGCAGGCATAATAATGGTGGATGGCGACGGTAATCAGAGTGAAACAGCTATTGTTTAGTCTGAGCATTGGCATTGCGACTTGAGCTGCTGCTATTTAATGCCATCTTCTGCATTTGACGGATGACTGTTGTAGCATGGTATGCCTGTTTCCAACGTGATTTAGCAAAATTTTTCTTGAGCTGTTCAGATACTGTTCCATGGATATTCTTGTTGCTGGCAGCGTTTCCTGAAATCCAGGGATGTCCCAAAGCTTGCCTGTAAAAGCAATATTAAACTATACAACTGGTACAAAGAACTACAAAAATGTTATTATAAACTAATACCGCTTCATCAAAATGAACACAAAATTTACAACATAATGTTTTTATCATAATTTAAAACTTAATTTTGAAAACTGGAACACTATACGTGGGTCACTAGGATAGTTTTGAGATATCGTTAAACTAACTAATGCTTAAACGTCAAACTATTGCCAATGATAACACGTCTCATATAGTAATGGTACCCCATTACTATATGAGACGCAAGCAAAAAATCAACCTACCTCCAATATTTTTTTGTGAATTTTTAATTGTGACAAGATATCAAAGTTAACGCGTCGCGATTTTCAAGCAATTATATTCTATAATTTCAAGCGAAGTTTGAGTGCTGATAAATGTGTCAATGAATTAAAATTTGTGTTTAATGAGAAAGCACCATACCGTAGCTTAATGTATCGGTAGTACAAACCGTTCCAAAGAGGAGATTCTAACTTTTCTGATGAATAATGCTTGATTAACAGAAAACTGTTACCACAAAATACTACACAGAGATTTGTTTGCCTCAACCGATTGAATCTCTAAAAAAAGTTCGACTAAACTCACGCATTGACACTTGGCGACTTCATCATGATCACCTGCACATAGCGCTCAATTAACTCAAGATTTTCTAAGTCAATCTGGATTAATTCTACTAGAGCACCCTCCCTACAGTCCTGACCTCGGACCCTGCGATTTTAGACTCTTCCCAATGATCAGGGATAAACTGAAAGGTCACTGGTATTCCAATGATGATCAGTCAATTCGAGCATGAGATTTGGCGTATGAGGAAGTCTCTTGGGTACCTCTGTCCCAATCGTGTTTCTACCGTGAAGCAGTTGTGTTTGCATGGCTGTGTTTTGGTTTGAAGGGTTGGATATGGCATGAATTTACAGGTTACAATGAAATAACATCTAAGTCCTCAGGAATGGCAACACATGGGTGGAATCATGGGTAAAACAGTATACTCTGTTATGTCCATGGTACTGCTCATGTCTATAGGCGTAGTCTATAGTCTATATCCACTTTCCATCAGGTGGACCGTCAGCTTGTTTGCCATTCTAAGTTGTATAAAAAAAAAGAAATGTGAAAGAAGACTTTTGATGACTGGTTTCGTCATATAGAGAAGTGTATTGCAGCCGATAGAAATTATTTTGAAAAAATTTTAAGTTTAATTATTGAATCTCAAAACTTTCCTAGTGATCTATGTAATAAATATGTTCTTAATGATCACAAATATGCTTATGAGAAACTCCATTATCTATTAATCTAGCTATAATCTTTTCCTATTTCCTACATACATTTAGTTACGTGTATAATATCCACCATAAAAATAGATGGAGGAAATATAGAATATTTGAAAAGCTATACTACTATGTACTTGGGCAATCCCATGAAGATATTAAAAGTGGCAAATAATGTCTAAGAAAGATATGGTCTAATAATATTAAGGTAATTACAGGACAAATTAACTCAAGATTAATGGAAAAAGCTATTGACGCATATCAGTGACTGGACACAGTGATACACATTTATTATGTATCTCTATATAATTATTATAAACATTTAATAACTTTGTAAAAGGGGTCAGGGGTATTCTTCTCTATAAATCTCTGATGCCTTCATTCAAATAAGAGCATATAGGTATGTGACCCCAGGCCTCAAGAGCCACTGCAGTGTTCCAGTCCTTTCTGCAAATGCAGTGTCCCCCCTTTTCTTTCCCAGATAAGACCCTTATTTCTCTTATTTATCAATTTCCTTTACACATTTCCAATATTCCCTTCCTTTTTTCCTCAATCCTTTCCTCTACACCATAGGTGGTGGATACCACCAACAAATGCATTCCCAAAGAGGGTTGACATCAGACAAGCAGCCAGTCATAAAACTAAGCCAAATCTTTTTGCAATATGGATAAAAAATATATGCCAACCCCATACAATAATTGTGTTAAGGGTAGGAAGAAAAAAGAATAACTTTGCAAAAAGGCTATAAATAAATAAAACATGTAAAAAGTAGCAAAATAACGCTAGTATAATATTTTTTTAGTATTAACTCCCACTGTAGGTGTTGTCATATCTACTTGATAAAGCAATGATATATGTATATGTTTGTGTATGTTTTAGCATTTTTCATTCTAAAGGGTATGCATGCATGACCTCTAATATAAGTTCTGAGAGGTACTATGGATATACTATACATTATGTGATGATCACTCTATAAGATAGGTGATCGGCTTGTTTGCCACTGCCAATTGAATAAAAATATTACAAAATTTGTAATTACTATTAAAATTCAAATAATAGAACAATTTTACACATCACAATGATAATTTAAAGTGTTTTTATAGAGAACTAAAATGTTAACAATTTGAATTTTATTAAAATACCAGTAATCATTTTTAAGTTTAATGGTAAAAAATATTAGAAAATTAAAAATGAAGTGAGAATTAACACAAAGTTCTTTTAACTTTATGTTAATTCTCACAAGATAAGAATATTTTATACAGTAAATATTCAAAATTCCATACATTTAAGGGATGAACTTCTGTCTTTACAAAGTTGAAGGTATACCCTTTCTATTACCACTCATATAAAATATCAAAATCAAAATGGCCTACAATAAATTTGCATAAGAACCTTTTCTTAATCTACCCACAAATAACAATTCATATGTGACTAGTAAGATAAAAAAAGACATTTTTAAGTTGAAACATATGATACTTTCACCTGTATCTTAAAAGTAGAAGCTACATCACATATGAATTTGTATAATGACAAATATAAATAACACTTACTTGCAAGTATACCTCTTTTCCACATCTACACACATCAAATGCTTTATGAAATCTTTGGCAGAGTCACTAATATCATCCCAGTATGGTGAATCAAATTCAAAGTCACCCTTCAATATTTGGGCAAATAAATTGGCATCATTTTCATCATAAAATGGAGGATATCCACAAAGCAAAATGTAAGATATAACACCTATACTCCACACATCTACAGCTTTGCCATATGGCTTCTGTGCCAGTACTTCAGGAGCAACATAACCAGGTGTGCCACAAGCAGTAGCCATAATTCCCGAATCTTCTATCTTAGATAAACCAAAATCACTGATCATAATTTTACTATCCTCATCTGCACTGTAATACAGAAGATTTTCAGGCTTCAAGTCTCTGTGTACTACTCCTTGTGAGTGCATGTAATCTACTGCTTCCAGCACCTGTCTTATAAGATTTGAAGCATCTTTTTCGGTATAAGAACCTTTCTCTACAATGCGATCGAACAATTCACCTCCAGTCACTAGTTCCATTACAAGATACACCTTATTTTTGTCCTCATATGTTTCTAGCAACTGGACGATATTAGGATGGGAGAACATTTTTTTCTCTCCACCCTCACCTTTCGCTTGTTCGCTAAACCGTTTTAATACTCTTATTTCATTCTCTAGGGAATCTTCTTTGCCTTTAAGAGCCTTCTTATCGATAATTTTGCATGCGAAGAGTTGACCATTCTCTTTACTCTCTATCAAACGCACTTCCGAAAAAGCTCCTGTACCCAATAGATCCTTCACGGTATATTTGTCCTCAATTGACGGTTGCTTCTCTGAATCTCGAGCATCTTTTTTGGATTTTCTACCAAAATCTTTTTTACCAAACAGAGGCATCTTTACGCCCCACGATTCTGAGTTTGTTCTACACTACTATTTATCTAAAAAAAACTACGTACATATGGGAGATAAATCGAGATTTGCCTGGACAGAACAATAATCTTGCTCGGCTGGCTTCACAGTTAAACAGAATGTTGCGCAGGGCGCTCAAGGTCAGGCGATTTGTCAAAAATTCATTACGTTTCGTTTAACGTTGTTTTTGTACGATTGTCGATAATAAACTTAAAATGTTATCTAAATTGAAAACAAAAAATATAAATTCTGTTTTCTTCTTACATATAATAATATAAAGGTAGAAAAATTGTTTCAATAGTAAAAGTATGCAATAAGTATTACATATCTTATGATTACTTTTAGTACTCGCGCTACACTATGTCACGAGTACAATTTGTACAAATTGTACTTGTGACAATTTAAAATAAGGATTTTTATTTATTCTCCAATTATATACGATAGGTATAAGGTGTAATATCTTTTATAGTAAAAGATATGTTGAAATTGGAACATCTTACTGTAATTAAATTTATAAATTTTTGCCCTTTTTACATAACAGTACTCAAAGTAGTTCTATATATTATATATTATACGTTTAAGTAAACAGCACAACCCATAATATGCAAATTTAAGTAGGGGGAGAAGGGATTAGTATTGAGGATTAATGGCCCCATTGCTAGCAAGCCCTGTCAGGTCGACCTACACGCGGTTCCCTCTGGAAACCATTGTGATTAATACTTGTTGGATGGATCACGATGGGCTAACAGACCTGCTTTTATGCTCATCTGTCATCCCTCACTGGTGCTCCGCTAGTATATACCGATAGCGCAGACGGGATTACCATTCCACTATCATCCATTAAAATAAATTTAAGTAGGTAATTAAAAAGCTTTTATAAAAAAAATATTTATTTATTTACTTTTTATTGCACCAGTTAAAGAATAACACAAAAATATGTATATACATTACACATGAAATTCAAAAGGCTATCTTATCGTTAAAGCAATCTCTTCCAGACGACCTTTGGGGAGAGGAGAAAAAAAACCTACTTGTTGACATACAAACATTTAATTTTTTTTATCAAACATAGAATAGCAAAATACTTAATAGCCCATCTAAACTATATTAACATCATAGAATACACTGTGATGCCCATAGTACCCTCATGAATACTATTGTTAAGGCAAGTCGTTCCTCTTTCCTGATAAGTGTATGTAGCTAACAATGGAGCAGGTAATCTCTTTATTAACAATCCCTTCCCCCCAGACAATTGCGCTGCCGGAATTATTTTTTCATTTTCATTAATTTACAAGAAAACGTTCATTTTTCTTAGGAACGCTTAGAGGTATCAAGTTGGCATTAATATCATATACTCAGGTCTGCGATCTCTTAAAGCAGTGAAAAAATTAAGCTTCTAAATCAACGTAATCAAAAGATACGGTCGTTTATGTTCTATTTATATCGCATATTTTGTTATTCGCAAAAGGAATCAAAACCTATAGGGTACTTCCCGTTGATCTAGAATCATAAAATTTGGTAAGAAGCAATGTCATGTAGCAGAAGTAAAGGAGAAATATCTGTTTTGTAGTTAATACACAAAAAAAATAAACTTCATTTTGTACGGAACTCTCGTTGCGCGAGTCCGACACGCCCTTGACCGACTTTTTTTTGTTCCGCCAAAATATAAAATCTTGCCTCAAAACTTTCTTAAAATCATCATCATAATGAGATTTTTAGAAAGTTTTGAGGTTTTTTTTTAATAGTTAGTAACTAAATACAAGCTGTTACTTATTACAAGTATAGTCTAATTGTTTTTATACCAACAATAGTTATTTGTAGCGCGTGAACAAAATATAATCATAAATCTAATAATAAACGCCTTCTCCTTTTCCTCACCCCTTCCTGTCTAGTATATACGCGCCCTAATCTAGAATTTCCTTTTATTTTTTAGAACAGCCAACAAGACATCCACTATAATTAAAAATTTTATCTCATGCAAATAGTTCAGGTATATAGTGTTGGCTTCATTACTGGTAAACACGGCATACTATATTTTTCACAAGAAAAGGAATAATTTATTTTTTTAACCAAAATAATATAAACAAAGTAACCTGCATAAAATATATAAGTATGTTATATTCTTAATTACTTCATATAAATGTAGATAATGATTATTAATTAATTTATTTTTTATTAAAATTTTCCAGAATAGCAGATTTAAAATACATTGAAATTTGCAAATATGTCAATATAATCTATAATAAATATATAATAAATATTTCAATAATTTAAGGTCAATATCTAAACTTTTTGCCATAACATTATACTTATTTTACATTTTGTTAATTGTAAAAAAGTGTTCCAGATTAATCCTAAATAGTTTTTTTGAAAATAGATAATATTTTTCACTACGAGGTAATTTCCGCGATGTATTTATAATAACTTGTTCTAAGAATTTTCGCTAAACAAGGTGGAATTTGCAAAACAAATTAAATAAATAATAAGACGACAAATAAGTATACTATATAGAAGTTTAACAAATATAAAATCATGGCCTTAAGTATTAACAGAATAATAAAAATGAAGCAAAATAAGTACCCTTTCTTTTTTATAAATAAGGGAATAATTTTATAAGAATATATTCCAAATACATAATCTCCAATATCAATTATATAATTAATCATGTTATTAATTTTATATTACAAACAGTGGTAGTTTAGCCATGGCTTAATACCGTCATACTACCGCAACTTATAAACTGCAAAGGTCATGAGTTCTAATTTGGTAGACACCAACAATTTTGTTTGTCAATTTAAATTTCTAACTTTACGGTATTGGAAAATACTTATAACAAACTAAACTATTCCCAGCGACTACGACAGATTCGCCTACTGTCATAAGTATGTTATATTCAGTGAAATATGAGCAGGTCGTTTTATTTTTGTTTTGAATTCGAAATATGATTTATTTGTATCTGTTGTAGTCACAGCGTTCAAGAATTAAGTAAAAATATGTCTTTGGTACACTGACATTAGAAGAGATATTAAATGTACTCGCCCTTTACCACAACAGCGACAACTAATAACAGACAAAAAAGCTGTCCTTTCCCATTGATAAGTGGTCAGATAGAGAGAATTACTGATTCTCTGGCAGTATGCCAAGTAGATCTCCACGCAGTCAGAAACCATGGTGGTTACTTTCTGACTTTGCTTCTCGGTGTATCAACTGACCTGAATTCTCCTTAACTAAAATCCCTTACTAGTACTCTAGTAGAGCAGGTGAGATTTACATTCCGTTTTATTCATTTAAAAATGCTTTTAAAGTCCCATTAGCGTCCCGCGATTATATTACAATTTTTCCCCTTCTGAGAAGAGTAAGAGCCTAATATTACCATAGTAATTTGTCGATATACTATAGATTTTGGTTGTCTTATGCTGCTGGTTTTTTATATTTGGTTTTTTTGTCTTAGTCGCCTTATACGATATTCTAGGGATAACAAGAGACAATTCCCAGAATATCTTTAAAAATTTTGCATAAAATTAAGTCATTTAGTATAAAGTTCCTCCAGTTTATTTTATTAATTTATATTGTTACAGTTATTTATTTGCTTTTAGACAGCGCAAGAAGAAAATATAATTCATGTCTGTACCTAACTTAATACTCAGTTTTTACATTGACTTCAAACCCCTATGAAAAATTTCTGTAGACAAAATTTTTAATAAAATGAATTTATGAGCAGAATATCAAAATCAGTGCAGTAAAAATTACAAAATAACATGAAATATAGATTTTCGCCTTTTTATTCCTGTAACAAGTGATTTAACCAGTACCTTTATACATAAAAATTTAAACTATCATCTACGTAATATTTTATATTTCAGAGATATATCTAATAGTTGTCTCTCTAGTGCGATATGGTTTAATTATTTTTTATACTAAAATTACAAATTTACTCTATATAAAGAAAACAGCGATATTTTTTTCACCCCAACCTACTTAAGTCTACGTTTTCCATTGTCTATGCTTCCACCCCCTGACGTCACAGTGAAAATCGACCAATCCCATTGGATACAGTACCCAATGGCCCTCGCAAGCGGAATCACTACCGCGCATCATACTGTACTCTATCACATAAATGTTTTCGTAGTGTGATAATTATGTGCAGTTCAAAATGCAGTTGGCTGTAGTGAAACTTATTTGAAAAATGATCTTTGATATCTCTCTTGTGCTGTGAAAAACATTAGATGTTTTATTTTTATCAAAATTTTAAATAGGTTTCTAAAATTTCATTAGGGGGTGGTGCCGTGATGCCAGTTCGTAAGCAAGGTGAATACATCTCATAGTGAAATAATATCTTCAAACAAATATTTTATTAAGATATGTGATCGTAGAATATTGTTATTGACGCATTGTTCATTCGTGGAGGGTTGCACAAAAGCACCCTTCTGTTGATTCGTATCGATAGCTTTAGTGTTGCCAGGTGATAGACTTGTGGCGTACTACGATCGTTGTGCTAAATAGTCTACTATAACTCCACGTGTCTTTCAATTATTTACACTAATTATTATTATCACAAGGTGGCTTGTAACTAAAGTTACATAATGTTTTAACTATTTTCACAATACTTCATTTACATATTTTATGTACGCCAATTTGTTTATATCTACGTAATAATATGTGTATTACGTCGATTTTTTTACCCAATGTCTTCTATAGGATAGATACCTATCATATGAACCTATTATAATATTATCTGGAAAGTAGATCTAGACTATGATAGGTACGTATTTATATGAAAGGAACAAAAAATTACAGTAGTAGGTTAATAATTAATATAAAAAAATCTATTATAAGAACAATAAGCAGATATTATATAAATTATGTGATGAGTAAATGGTTTATAAACAAATCTAAAAAAAGCTATTTCTAGATAGAAGAAACGTAGAAATTGGTCTAAAATCTGATTTAATATTTTCTTGGTTACTTTCCAGAGGCCCATCGAGCTTTAGAACTGCTGGAAGACTACCATAGCAAACTAATAAAACCTCAGGATCGGCAACTACGGCTCGCTATCGAAAGAGTCATCCGGATATTCAAATCTCGACTGTTCCAAGCTCTGCTTGGTAAGTATATTTTATAATTCTTGTGCGGATCCATTGTAAATAGATTCGTTACGAATGTATGTTTTAAAAAGTCATATCCTGTGATAATAATCAAGTTTTTTCAAAAACCATATAAATAATTAAATGCTGCTGAAAATTTTTATTATTATTTAACTACGTTACTTAGCCTATATTTACTGAATATACTTATGTACTTACCTACTTGTAATTAGTTACAAACTTCAATATTGTTATACCAGATTGAAATAATGTACTCTGTAAATCTTTACCTTTCGCTTGGGTTATTTAAAAACTCCGTTTGTTTGGATTAGCTACCTACTTACCAAGAACATTATTGGACGCACATCATATGACAAGAAACAACAAACATTCACTAATAACTACTTTAATTTTAATATTTTAACATATTCCAGATATTTCGTATTCAATAATTAATAAATGGAAGAGTTAAATTCCTATTTTTAAAATGAAGCTCTTATGGGTATGTAGATACTGCTTCCATTTTCGCAAGGTCAAAAGCTATATTTTGGATATTCCACTCCCTGTATAAGTGCCTGTATTCCTTTCATAAGTATCTACTTAAATGTAAAGGACAAATTAAAACATTTGAATTCTCAGTAGTTATTGATTATGTAAATTTTAATTCCTTTCCATTATACTTTATGCATGATACTAATAATATCAGATTAAATTACTTAAATAGATCGGGTATTAATCACTGATGGAACCACCACCGCGCCAAATATTTGTGGTCTCACGTATAAAAATAATAGTATTATTAAAATCATAATTATTAGATAATCAGTAGCATGGGCTTTCTCAAAATAACTACTAGATAACGTGAGCGACCCAAGAAACGCTGTTTGGATATCGTGATTAAAGGCATGCGAATCAGTGTTGTTAAAGATTGATGATTTGATAGGAGCTCAAGATCGATCAAAGTAGAAAAGAAACATTAAGAAAGCTGACTATGACTATGTCCAGAATTAATGCTAGGTCAAAGTAGATGAAAATAATTTCTATCATTCTGTAATAAAATTTTCCCATCACGAAGCAATATAGGAGATGGTTAATTATTTAATTCCATAACAGCTAGCCACTATTGATCACGGAACTCTTCCCATTAGTAGACTTTAGGATACCTACTATCACCACGCTTGCTGGCTGGCTGCTTATTTTATTTCACACTTTCCTTCTCTTGTACCTACTGGTTTATTGTGTTTCGTTAGTCGGTTGCTTCTTATAATATCGTAGGGATGGAAAAAAAATTATAAAATGTATTCTTGTTGCGTCACTATACAGATATTAAAAGTAATTTCATAAAAATAGTTTAGTAATTGAAGGGGTTAATCCATAAGTATTATTTATCTGAGGATCATTCTCTGTTACCATATTTTTATTGTGCTATAAATATAACAGAGAATGCGCGTGAACGCACCGCACCGCGCGTCACAAGCGATCTTGAGCCTTCCTTGACCACGACACTGCTATTGTCCGCACCGCATTATATTTAGCCAACACTAATGAACATCGCATAGCTACATCTGATAAAACGTGACTGTGGGAATTGATCGATTAAATAGTATGTAGTGTATAATTGATTACATAAAGGGCGTACGATAATTCAAAATTGTACCCCTTAACTCATAAAATTCATTGCCTACTGCTGAAAATAGACATAGTTCCCCCTCATAGAATGATCTTGAGTTAACTGCAAACATTGATTCCCTGCAACACATTTGAAGTTAAAATAGATTGATTATTATAAAATTTCAAGCATGCTCAAATCCGCCCGCTTCGATTTTATAATCACTTTATAATTATTGAAATAATGCTTTCATATTTTAATAATATTTCTATATCAATTTGAAATTATGTTGCAAAAAGGTTTATATTTGCGATTGTTACTCTATTTACGACTATAATACAGTTTACCTGGTCTTACGGCCACATTACTACCAATATATTAACTTTATTAGGTCGACCTACACATGGTGCCCCCTGTAAAGCATCGTGATTAATTCTTAGATCTATTTCTCACGATAAACTGACTGACCTAATTTTATTCTCACCTATTCATTGATCACCCAGCCATTCTTCTCCCATAAAAAAAACTGTAGTAAGCGGAGGAAGGGATAGATAGATTTTTTCTTTTTTTTTTAATAGGTGATGACTACCACTGCGGTAATCCCACCTATGCTATCAGTATAAGCTTAGAGAATAGCGAAGAGTGATAAGTGAGGATGAAAATAGGTATATTAGTCCATGGTGACAAGTTCATCAGTAAGTGACAACAATAGTTTTCAGGAGAAACCAACTGGAGGACGAGCTCTCAGAGCAATGGGACCGTTAAACCACTTTACTTACAATCGCTTTCCCCCGGAATTAGTGGTAATAGGAACTAATCTAAGCTCTATTGCTACCAATATACTCCACCCCCTAATCGATATATGGAAACATTATTTTTTTTATATACGACTATAGGTAATATTTATAATTTCCTATCGATATAGGCGAATAGGTATATATTAAATACTTGCTACTGTTCTTGACGAAGCTTATCTTTACGCTAATTAAGTAAATGGAATCTGTGATTAACTGAACACTTGACGATTGTTAAATAACTTATTGCGTATTATATATATATATATATATATATATATATATATATATATATATATATATATATATATATATATATATATATATATATATATTATATAGGCCATCCCTTCCTTTCCCGTAAGTGTCGTAAGAGCCGATTAAGGATGGACAAGGGATGAGCAGCAGCGTCCCTCTTAAAACATCTACAAAGCCTAACTGCGGTTGCTAATCAGCTTGACAAGCATGGCAACTACCGGCAAAACCCCCGAAGAGGGAGGCTTATGTTCAGCAGTGGACAGTAAAACACTGATATTATGATATATATATTTGAAATATATTTGATTAAAATTTAAATTACTTACACAAAAATATATTGACTATTTGGATCCATCCATTTGGATTGATTTTTCTTAATAAACTCTCATATGGATCGATGCCATTTTTTTTAATCCTCTAAAACCTTTTATAAACTTATCAAACAGCTATTTTCACATAATTAAAACTCTGGTTTCACTTATAATCTAAATAATGTACATTTCTTCTAACATCTGATATTAGGTCAGATGTTAGAAGAAGTGATCAGTCGTGATGGATCATCCAGAAAGGTCTCTTCTTTTTTTATACCTCTGAAATATTAAACAAGCATACGACCCACCTGATAGTAAGCGGTTACCATAGCCTATAAACGCCTGCAATATCAGAGGTATTACGCGCGCGTTGCTGACCTTGAAGAAACCTCTTTACCCCCCTTTTGAAGAACCCCATGCTCCTCCTGTGTAAACCTGCAGGAAATAGGTTTCTTTCATATAATATCTGATCCATCTAATTTATATTTATTTTTATATACAACTTAGAATGGCAAACAAGCTGTCGGCCCACCTGATGGAAAGTGGTAACCGTCGCCTATAGACATGAGCAGTACCATGGACATAACAAAGTATACTGTTTCGCCCATGATACCCCGCCCCCCTCCCCCACACGTTGCCATTCCTGAGGACTCAGATGTTATTCCTCTGTACCCTGTAAATTCACGTCATATCCCACCCTTTAAACCGAAACACAGCCATGCAAACACAACTGCTTCATGGTAGAAACACGAATGGGACAGAGGTACCCAAGCAATCGACTTTTGTACAAAGTCTCCCTCTGGTGATTATTATTTAGATGATTGTATAATTTTAAATTATTAACTACTATTTTATAGTGATAATTTGTTTGTTTATTGTTAGGTTTTATGCGTGTGGCGCTATATATAGTTTCAACATTAGATGTCTATTTTTCATTTTATCTACTTATAAACCTCCTAACCATAAGCAGAGAGATCCTATTTTCATTGTCAAGAACTTTTAATCTTCTCCTTAAGCTCTTCATCCATTTTTGTATTTTCCACGCAAATTGTAAATAATCTTGGCATCTCTTGACTGCTGACAGTATACGCGATCATTCTTTCATAATAAGACAATCAAGTCCATAAAAGTATTCTAAGTACAACCCAGTGTAGATATATCCAATATGTAGAGTATTTTAAAACTTGTTCATTCTTTTTAGTGATAAACTTCAATTACCAGATCAACTCGCATGGAAGTAAACCTTCCTTTAAATAAAAATAAAATCAATTCACATTTGTCCAAGATATCCGATAACGTATACACCCTGTAGACAAATCTACAACGTTTTACAGTATCTAGTCTGCTACGTCGTGATTCTTATCAAAGGAACCTCTTGTGTGTATAGAATTTTCATCCATGTAAGAGGTTTCTTTGATGGTATGTAATATTATTCCATTATGGGATAATAGTTCGCAACGAACTAGAGAACTAACGTATATATTAAATATTTAAATTCTAGCTTAATCCCGCGGTTTCGCCTGCGTGAATCAATATATAAAGTATCCTATATTCTAAGTTAGTATATAAACTATCCGAGGACCACATAAGTTACATTCAAATCTGCTCAGTAGTTTTTAAAGTCCATTCATCTTCACAAACTATCTATGTATATCATCTAAAAATTGGGTTGCGTTTCGTACATACTATAACAATGTAATTTTTTTCATCAAAAAATACAAATAAGCACAAACAAGAATATCAAAAGTTTAGAAATATATTGAACTGGGTATAGTTCTAACAAAAAAATGAGTTCTTGGCGTATATTTATGTTAAGATAAAAATCATAAAATAAATGCAAATTATAAAATGCAGTTTTCATTACGAGGGCATAGATGGTTACATTGGATTAACCTTGCCCTGTTAGTTTGTACTTGATTGCAGCTGAGCGTAAACATGCGTCATCGGCTTCGCACTATACACATGTTGTTCAGTGTTGTATGTAGATATCTATCAAATTACTCGCAATCTGTTTATTTATTGTAATTATACACATTATAACCACTTATC